GTTCTACGCGAAAAATGTCTCCAAATTTTTGTCTATATGATTTTTTTTTAAACAAAAAAATATATACAATTTTTTTAATACAAAATTTTTTTTTTTCAAAATATGTGTCTTAATTTTTTTTCTATATGAAAAAATGTCTCCAATTTTTTTTATGCGAAAAAAAATTTCTCCACTTTTATTTCTATACGAAAAAATGTCTCCAAATTTTTTTATGCGAAAAAAAATTTCTCCACTTTTATTTCTATACGAAAAAATGTCTCCAAACATTTTTCTATACCAAAAAATGTCTCCAAATAATTTTTATACGGAAAAAATCTCCCCAAGAGTTTTCTATACGAAAAAAATAGTTTCCAAATCTATACAAAAAAAATCTCTCCAAATCAAAATGTCTTCAATTTTTTTTTTCTATAAAAAAAAAATATATCCAAATTTTTTTTCTATACAAAAAATGTCTCCAAATTTTTTCCTATACGAAAAAAATGTTTCAAATGTTTTTCTATACAAATCGTATCTACACAAAGAAATCTCTCTATTTTTTTTCTATTTTAAAAATCTCCAAATTGTAGGAAATAAATCTCTACAAAATTTTTTTCTTTGTATACAAAAAATGCCTCCAAATGTTTTTCTATGCGAGAAAAATCTTTCCAAATTTATTTTCTTTGTGAAAAAATGTCTCCTATTGTATTTCTGTACGAAACAAATCTCTCCAATCTTTTTCCATCCGAATAAAAACTCTCCGAACTTTTTCTATACGAAAATAATGTCTCTAAGTTTTTTTCTATATGAAATAATATGTCTCCATTTTTTTCTATACGAAATTTCTTTTTTTTTTTACATGGAAAAATGTCTCCACATTTTTTTATATGCGAAGGAAATGTCTCCAATTTTTTTTTTCTATACGAAAAAATTTCTCCACATTTTTTATACGAAATAAATGTCTCCATATTTTTTTTATACAAAAGAATCTTCAACTTTTTTCTAAGCGAAACAAATGTCTCCAATTTGTTTTTGTATTTCTCTAAATAATTTTTATAAAAAAAAATATCTCTGAATTTCCAAATGTCTCCAATTTTTTTCCATGCGAAAAGAATATATATTCTATACGAAAACATGGTCTCCAACTTTTTTTCTATACGAAAAAAATGTCTCCAATTTTTTCCTATAGAGGAAATGTCTCCAATTTTTTCTATACGAAAATAACACTCCCCAATTTTTTTTCTATACGAAAAATATCTCCAAACTATTTTCTATGCGAAAAAATCTCCAAATCTTTTTTTATACAAAAAATGTCTTAATCTCTTTTTCTTTATGAAATAATGTCTCCCAATTTTTTTCTATTCAAAAAAAATAGTCGAAAATTTTTTCTGCACCGATTTTTTTTTTTTTTTTTTAAATGTTCGGAATTTTTTTGCTATACGTATTTTTTTATAAGTTTCTGGGGAGAAAAATGTGTATATTTTTTTTTTGCATATTTGGCAACCCTGCAAGTCTAAATAACCGTTACAATATTTAACGGTCTTCGCCACCATTTAAGTTAGGTCTTGGCATATTTGGAAAGGAAGCAAAAACAAAATCAAATGTAACCCAAAACGCAATGAAACGCCAGTCAGAGATGACGCTCTCGTCTCCAAAACGAATGAACCTTCTTTTTTGTCTCTGGGTGTTTGGATTTCTGTTGTTGCTGGGATGCCATCCATGTAACATTACCTTCAAGGTATTCATTGCTCGGCTACAACTTTATAAGAGGGCAGCTCGATACGGAGTGCTGGGTGTGTGTGTGTGTGTGGCACAAGGAAACTATAAAAGTCTTAAAAGTATATCGTTGTAGAAAAGACGAAGAAGACAAACAAAGCAAACAACAATAATAATAACAGCAGCAGCAGCAAAAAAAATCAACTCTTTTGTAAAAGTTTTCTCAGCTGTAACAGGTTTTCAACATTTAAGCTGAGGTTTTAAATTTACAACAAACAGTTGCTGGCAAACGTAAGAGCTTTGAACACCTTTAGCAGAGATCATGGCAAACGTTGTGTGCTGGAATAATAGTCAAATAAAAACGGATTGAAATAAAAAAATAAATGAAAACGGAAATCCTTCTATTGTAACTCAAAACTGAAAAGGATTATGGAGTATAGTGTCAAATATTTGAAATTTGTTGTTTTAACACCCAAGCATAATTCAATTTTAAAGAACTGAGATCGGTTGGTGCATAGATGGGTTAAACGTTTTTATCTATACATCATGTGGAATAATTCAAAACGAAATTCTAGCACCATTCGAAATCAGTGCTTTTAATTGAAAAAAATCATCAAAATCTGGGATTTAAGAAATTTAAAAAAAAAAAATAAATTTGTGAAATTCAAGTGTTTGATAAAAATAAAGAGAATTTCTTTTTGCAATTGAAATTGGATTTTGAAGGGCTTCATCTGGCCACCAAGCAAATCTGAATGTCATTAACATTACCGGGTGTGAGTCAGTGATTGTGTTTTTGTGCTCAAGAAACCCTAAAAGTGTTGACAAAATTTGATATCAATCACACATGCAGATCAATCACATGGATCGTTACAAAAACAAACTGCAGTGCAAAAGAAATGTACAAAATAATGATAATAATAATAACAATAATAATAATAACAATAATAATAATAACAATAATAATAATAACAACAATAATAATAATTATAATATCTTATTAATTAAACAATTCATTCAAGATAGAAAAATTAAAAATTAACTCATCCTAAAACAGCATTTCTATAACAAATACAATTATATATTATTTATTATTTTTAAAAAACACGTCCGATTATTCTGATCCTTCGAAAAAAATTGATTAAAAATTATTATTCTGATTCTTCAGAAGGATTTCTTTAAAAAACCCAGAGGGTTAGTCTCCTTCAATAAATCTTTTCGGAGGTACCTGTAAAATAAAAAGTAAAATGAAGAACTAGAATAAATGCAAGTAAAGACCACAAAGGTCCAGGGAAAGTACTCTTAGAGAACCGCAGAAATTTTTTTCTGATATTGCTTCGAGGGATTCCTTTAAAATCATCGAAGGTTATTGTACCGAGCCTCCTTTAAAAAATCTTCTTTGAAATTCCTGTAAAAAAAGGGAAACGTGAAATATATTCTTAGCATGTTAAAAGGACAATATGTTCGGACGGGCCAAACTTTGTATACCGTGCACAATGTGAAAATTTGACTAATGAACAAATCAGCTGCCTTGGCTATAACCCAATAAAAAAGATTTTGGAAAGAATTGGTTTAACAAAGCTGCCAAGAAACTTTGATGTAATTGACCGTTCAGGATGGTACTTTCAAACAACTTTATCGCTCCACAGACTTATTAACATCCAACTTATCTATTCGAATTGTAATATTCTAAATTAATACGTTTAATAAACTAAATTTTTATTAAGAAAAAATCACTTTAAATTTACAGCCGTTTGCTCAGCAAGTAGGAAACACTAGGAGCGAAAAAGGCGCACCAGCGTTGCCATGTTCAAAAAAAATGTTTTCTTCAACTACTTATGATTGAAGACACGATCCCTGAGAAAAATGATTTCCGTTGTTATAAAATGCCGTGCGGATATTTATTACTAGGCTGATACACTTGTTGGGCGTCCGACGAATGTTTGTAAAAAAATATCATGATTATTCAATTAATGTTTCAGAAAAAAATCACTTCAAATTTATAGCGGTTTACCCAACAAGTAGGAAACACTAGGTGCGATAAAGACTCACCTGCATTGCCATCTTTAAATAAATGTTTTCTTCAATTACTTTGAAGGCACGATCTCTGAGAAAAATTATTTCCGTTGTTATAAAATGCCGTCCGGATATTTATTACTGGGCTGATACACTTTTTGGGCCTCCGAAGAATGTTTGTAATAAAATATTATGATTATTTAACTAATAATTCACAAGTCCAAAAATTTTTTTTTTAAAAATTTCAAGTATCGTTGATGAAAATGCTTCAAAATAAAAATGAAAAATGTTAATAAAATCAAAATCGGATCTGAAATTTATATTAGTTTAGGAATTACTCAGATTCGTCCTTTGCAAAAATGACACGGGTTTAGAAAATCCACGTTGAAATGGGCTTTGATTAAACATTCTTTGCGAAAAATCCACGATATAATGACCCCTGGAAAAATGTTCGCCTGGTGTCCAAGTTTGCAAGTTCATGGAGAAAACATTTGTTTGGAAGATCCACATTGACATGGTCCGTAAGAACTATTAATAGTGTCTACCTTGTGACATACAATCCTTAAATATTCTCTATAGACTCCTTACAGTTGATGTTATAGAGGATTAATTTTTCGTCTTTAATTAGAGTCTGTCTTAAAAGGGTCCCAGTCAGCAAACAATTTGGACTATTTGAATATATTATCTTACTATTTTCCAAAGGCTTGTAATTTTGCTGTTGAAAGTTAGCAGCTCAGACTAAGCAAGTATATCTGATTTAAAAAAATCCCAATAACGCAATCGAAATACATTCGAATATAAATTTAAAACTACCTCCTCCTTGCAATATAATAAAGGTCTCCAGATAATCGACCATGCCGATCCAAAAGGCAGTATTTTGAAATTGACCCAATCTGACATTCTAGGATTTCTATACGGTTTCAGGGAGTATCACCAAGATTGAGACGCATTTTGAAAAAATAGTCCCCGACAATTTAGCTTTCTCAATTTTATTACATTTTTTACAAAATTACAGCATTCAAAAATTTTTCGATTAATGTTTTGATTTTTTCCATCTGTTAGTCAGGAGTTTGTTGGATGGTAATTTGGAAAAATATCCTTTGAAATATCCACATTTGACGATTCACTTTAATTTCTTTCTCTTTATTTATTCAGATTTTTTAGAAGGTCTCTTAGAAAATGATTCTACAAAAATTCTTAGGTCTCATGCTGTATGGATATTTTGGAAGGTCCCTCGAAAAATTTGCACTAATCCTGCCTGATGATCTTTCTGTTTGCTTATCCAAAACACTCTTTTATATTTGTTTTTATTTTTTATTCAAGCATGTGTTTTTCATTTTATTCTACAGCATATAAAGGTCACAATGGTGTTACAAGTCTACAAATATCTATGTAATACCTAACAAATTACATTTAAAGGCTTTGCCAGCAAAAAAAAAAAACTTATTGTTAGTGATGTTTTGAATCCACATGTTGTTAGTATTCATCATTTTCAAAAGGATGATGGGGATGGCCAGACCCACTAGAGAGGGGAGAGAAAAAAGATAATGAAAACAAATTAGAAAATTGAAATATAAAAAAACAACAAAAACAAATTAACTACTAAAAATTAGTTTAAAAAATGTTAAAAATTATTAAAATTTAATAGCAATTATCAAACATTAATCTTTAACCAAAGAAAGCAATCTAAGAAAGAAATAAATAACAAAAAAGGTAGAAAACTATTAGGGAATTTAAGAAGGTGTGAGTGAGTTGGATAAAAAAATAATTAACGAAAACAAGTTTGCAAAACTATTGGGGATTTAAGAAGGTGGAAGTGAGTTGGACATTTAATATTAACTAATGACCTAAAATAGATCATCTGTTTTTGTAAATTAGGATGTTGCCAGGCAGTGAAATGTGTACTGGGTTTAATATGTAAACATTTAAATGTCAACAAAACCAAGTTGTAATTAATAAACAAAAGATAAACTTAAAAAAAGTTTTGATATTTGAAGGTATGTTGATTCTTAATCAATTGCCTAATCAAGTATGGAAAACATTGTATAGGGAGGGAATAACAATAAACTATAAGTGACGAAATCGCAAAGTTTCAATGTTGGAGGGCACGTGGGGTTAAGAATTAAAACTTTTCAATTTCCAATAAGGTATGGGAAACATTGTATTGTAAATAAAATTTGATTTAGAAATATCTATTTAACAAATCTAAGGTGTTACCAAACAAACATTAATACTGAACTAATAATACATAAAAAAGATTAATACCAACACCAATGTATGTGTTATAGAGTCAAAGCTTTGTAAGCGGTTAAGCAGTTTTGTTGTAATTTTGAGGTATTAATTCTATTTTTTGTATTTCAATCAGAAAAGGCAGCAAGCAAACGAAAGAACAAAAAAATTTTGACTTTGTTTACCCAAAAATACAATTTTTAAAATTTGTATAAAATCTGAGTTGCTTAGAACTCATCATGGAAGGGATAATGAGGGTGGGTTCCTGCATCGCTGTTTTTATAAAAAATTAATCAAATAATATTAATTTAAGAGTTTTGCCTTGTTAAGGCGAAGATCATATGTTTTATGATTTATGCGTTTGTTTTCTCTTTCGAGACGAGCTTAATGATCTGAAATTTGCAGTGAAAAGGAAAGCCAGATAGACACTATCACACTCACCACTATGCGACGCGTTTCGCCGTTGATTAAGCGGCTCATCAGGCATATTTGGTGTGGATGATGGCTTACAAGGGCCGTTCTCTGGAAAGTAGTATATATTTCGAACTTATTGCAAATTAGCATATGCGAATTATACACTAGAAACTCTCCAGGTTCGACTCAAGTTCTATTGGCAGATCTTTTTCACAGCAAAGTTTTGTTTTTTCATGACAATTTTCAATTTTTATAATTTTAAAATCAAAATACTCACGTCAACAAGGGCACCAAACGGCCATTGCAATCGAAGCTATCAATGTTGGCCATATCCTCGGCACTCAACTCAAAACCAAAGACATCAAAGTTCGAGGCAATACGGCTCTTGGTAACGGACTTGGGAATGACAATGTTGCCACGTTGGATTTGATAGCGGATTAAGATTTGGGCAGGTGTCTTGGAGTATTTGGTGGCAATTGCAACAATCTGTAATGGATAAAGGTATGTATTTTTAAATTTTATTCATTTTTTTATTCTACTAACCTTAGGATCTTCCATTAGAATGGGATCGCCAGGCTTGGCCCATGGACGATTGGGTGAACCCAAAGGACTGTAGGCAGTAATGGCAATATTCTTGGATTTACAATATTCCATTAGTTTTTTTTGAATCAAGTAAGGATGGCATTCCACCTGATTGGTGGCTGGTGGAATGGTGGCCACAGCCAAAATACGTTCAATTTGATTCTTATTGAAATTGGAGACACCAATGGACTTGACCAAACCATCTTGTACCAATTTTTCCATTTCCTTCCAGGTGTCAACATAATCGGCATCGGAGAAGGCAGTCTTGCCTTCAGCATCAACGGGGAACAACTCATCGCCCTCCTTGTAGCCCAGGGGCCAATGGATCAAATACATATCAATGTAGGACAATTTCAAGTTCTTCAATGTGGTCTCGCAGGCACCGCGTACCAAATCGGGACGGTGGAAGGTGTTCCACAATTTGCTGGTAATGAAGAGATCCTCGCTGGAAAAAAAAAACAAAGAAAATTAATTATTAAATTTGTTGTTGTTGGTATTTGTTACTTACCGCTTTACAACACCCTCATTGATTTTAGCCTCAATACCCTCACCCACTTCATGTTCATTCTGATAGACATGGGCACAGTCAATGTGACGATAACCAATATCAATGGCATCTTTAACAGCCTGGGCCACTTCACCTTTGGGACTCTGTAATGAGAGATAAAACAAAAAAAGTTGGCAATTAGTTTGAGTCGAAGAATTTTCATAGATTCCTGTTAATTCTAACAAGTTTGCGATATGTTATTACTATTATTGCAATCTTAATTATTATATCAATGGAAATTGTTTGAAGTGTTAATTGACAAATTTATTAGCAACTTCTTTTAATGTTGACTAAGGTGACCTTTTGGAGGGGGAAAAATAGGGAGGGAAAATTTGAAGGACCATCTATTCCCGGGGAATTTCTATAAATCTGTGGAACAATTATCAGATGAATTGAAATTAATATTGGCTTTGAAGATCAGATTTGGAAGTTTTTAATTATATATTTTAATTATATATTTAATTATATATTATCGCAAAAATATTCTGGAGGATGTATTAAAGCCTTGGGCACGCCAACATTTTGGCCGTAGACCTTGGACATTCCAACAGGACTCAGCACCATCGCACTCAGCACGCGACACCCAAGAATGGTTACAAAATGAGGTTCCTCTCGCTTCATTTCCAACAAAATCTCCATAGAAGGTCTTTGTCTAAAAATGCTCTAAGGAAAGCTAACATGTAAGAATTTCTCTCTATGGTCCTGCATCTCTAAATGGAGATGGTCCAAAGAAAGACACTTTTCTATAGAAGTCATCCAGAAAACCACCCATCTAAGAAGCCACATCGAATGTGAAGTGCCTTTGAGCTATTTTCTGTTCAAGAGGCCTCCTAAGGAACTCTTGGAACTGAAGTCTTTTCAAAGGCCTTCTTTAAACTGATTTTTCGTTCCAAGTCTTGAAGAGAACTCTTTCATAGAAAAGGCCTCTTTCTTTCAGAAGAAGTCCGTAGTATTTTGGAAAGCAAAGTTTGCACTAAAAAATACCAAAGTGTCCTCAAGCCACAAGCAAGCGCTTCGCCGGGAATGTACCTAAATATCGCACATTCGGGCAGCGTGTGAGGCTTTCATTGGTCGTTTGAAGGTCATATTTCGTGCTAAAGTTGACCAATTCGAACAAATCTAAAGTTATTCTAAAATTTGATGCTATTTCCGACATTTTTTGCTTTCATTCAATAAAATTAAAAAAATGTAAAAATTATGGCCTTTGACTTTGTTGCAGTTTTTTTTTTCTATCTCACGCTGTATATTCAGGTGGCTTTTGAATTTAAAAAAAAATCACATTTTTTGGAAAGGCAACAGGTATAAAACATCATCACAGAAAAAATTAAAATATTTAGCAAAAAATTATTTATATTTCCGGAAAATTATTTGTATTTCTTAAAAAGTCTCCTTCCATAACTTTAAAAAATATTCAATCAAAATTTTGATAGCTCTCTAATGATGAAGACTATTCAAACATATTGTGCCACACAAGGTCAAGATTATATAAATCTCCAGAGATGACCTGGCAACTGCGTTCATGTTCCTAAGCAATTCAAAACTCTTTGTGATAACATGGATACTCAAACCCCAAATATTATCTCAATTGCGATTGGTATCAATGAGTATGATGTCTGCATTCTGCAGACGACCATGCTCCGATGGCATGCTTCATTGCTGACACTTCATTAAATAATCATAAATTTCAACTATTATTAGAAGTTTGGACGTTATCATAAATATTGGGTACACACTGATAACGAAATATGTAAATTTTCGGACAAGAATCTCACAAAAAAAAAATGTTTAAACATTAATTATGTTGTCTGACCCCTTGGTCATTTAAAATTTAAATTTCTTTTCCCAGACATAATAACAATTTGCTCATTAGGCCCATAAATTTTGGCGTATGCCATGATTGCTGATTTACATGATGATTTTGTTGTTGTTCGAACTAATTTTTAATTTAATCTTTGATGTTGTTAGTGGCTTTTTATTGTAGCTTATCAGCAAATTTTCAATAGGCAAAAGAAGGGAATTGTTTTTCTACAACTGTGACGTTAATGTGGAATATTACTACTCCTATGTTATGGCTATTTCACAATGGAAAATAAACAAATACTAAATATCGTGGAATATATTTTCCCACAATGAAAGAAAACCGTTCTATTGATAGGAAACCTACAAAAAATATAAATTAGCAGAAAACGTATTTTGTCTATTTTTTAAGAGAAAAAAGGTAGGTTCAAATCCCTCTATCTGTAAAAAGTCTCAGGATGGCCTTCCTTCTGGAGTATAATCTTCTTCCTTCAAAATGGATTTCATACATAGATGACTTCTAGTATTCTATATAAGTTTTCTATGAACGGAATATTTACTAAGCAACCTTCTGACTATAGAAGTTCTCTACCAAATCTTCAATTCACAGATGTTCCCTATGACTTCTGCCGTTGCCTTAAAACCCCTCGAGTCCCTAATTACAAAAATCTTTTGCTGTAACTATAAAATAATTCTGGATGATAATTATTCGATCTACTTTGATCTCTGGTAAGAACTTCAATAAATTACTTTATGCAGAGAAACCTCTGGAATATGACGTATCTATAGAAAATAACTTTTACATAATTATAGCACATGGGAAAAATTCAATATTTAGAAATTAATTTAAAAAATGTGTTCTTTAACAAAAATCTATTTGTTGAAAATATATATATAAAGTAAGCAGATCCCACTTCCCCACGCTTAATACGCCAATCTGCTCCATTGAAAATTCCAACTATCTGATAAGCCATTGCACTTACAAATGCAATAAATAGTGCTTAAGAAAACTCCAACTGATATGGCTTTCTGATAAGATTTCATAAGTGCGCCAACATATGGCGCGGCAAAGCGAACATTCCCGACCTAGACCGGTTTTCATGAAAATATATGTATGTATAAACATATATATAAATAGTTTCACTTATCAAACTCATAAAAGATAGCACAACGCCAACAGCAACAACAACAACACGCAACACCCCTTCAATCACATTTTCGCCACATCATTTGCAATACACCCTGTCGATAAAGATGACCTTGGGGCATTTGGATGCTATTAAATGCAGTACTCTTAGAATAACTAATGAATTAAATGTATTACTTTTGTTGTTGTTGTTGTAAATGTAATAATGTATAATTGATTGGCAGCTGTAGTTGTAATATTGTGCAAGTCTCAAGTACTTAAAAAAACACTCCCACATGGTTTGGATTCATAGACCCAATGAACGATAAGCCAGCCTTTAAGTGAGGAAAATTCCATTAAATTTCACAACACATTCTATTTCCTTCTTTTATCTAGCATTGCTAATTTTTTTTTCACATTTTTTGCAACTAATAGTTTGTTCTTATTACAACAAAAACAAGGGCATTAAAAAAATTGCACCAACAAAACGAAATTCATTTCCACTTACTCCCCAGGTTCCAAGGCCCAAAATGGGCATATTGTGGCCACTGTTCAACACAACGTTGGGTACGTTCACCATTTTGTTTGATTTACACTTTTTTTAGAATAATTTACAATTATAATAATTAAAATTCCCGACGCGATCTGTCTCAGCCGGCTGTAAATATGAATAAATGCAAAAAGTGACAGCTGTCTAGCTTTTATAATGGCAAAAGCTAGGGATACTTAGGTCTATTTTGGTTAGTTAAGTACTTAGGGATACAAAGATCGTTTATCGACATTTGTAATTGGGAGGGAAATTGCGCGTGTGTATATTGTGTTGTTTTAAAAGTTTTTAAAGCATACTTTGAGGCGGAAATAAAAAAGCTTGATAAAATGCTTTTAACAAGTTTGTTTACTAGGATGAGGACATTGTTAGGATTTATTTATTTAATAATATGGTTATGTGGGCTACTTTAAACTGAAGTTTTTGTTTACTTTACAAATTCCTCCAGAACACTGATAATCTTCAACAATATCGCATTTTAACTACGATCATTATTCCCATTTAATACCACAAAAACATATATATTTTTTATGTTTTTTTATAACTTTTATTTACAAACTACTCCTCATAGGCACCTTCACCATTTTCGTCATTTTCATAATCATTATTATCTTCCTCGCCCTCTTCATCACCGGCCTCATCATCCTCCTGTTGCTGTTGGTCCCACCATGATAGAACACCCAAGCCGGATTCATTAATGGCAGCCTGCAACACAAAAAGAAATAGAGATTTAACCAAAAATTTAACAAAAAACAGATATTCGTGAAGCCATTTCCCAATAAACAATTTACGGGTAAATAAAGAGCTGAATGAGGACAAAAATATTTTTCCCAACCTTTCAATATCTCTAGTAACAAATTGTTACCATAAAATTACTTACAATTATTCTATAGGGCGTCTTCGATTCACCAGCCTGACCAGCAGTTGATGTGGTTGCCGCCGAGGTTCCCGGTTTCATACTTTCACTTGTGGGCGGTCCAATCGGTGAACTTTCTTCAAATATTTCCCGTGACACTCGAAACTTAATGGGTTCCCCAACATCCATAAAAAGGTCATGTTTACCACCATCTTCTAAAGGATATTCCCATACCCACGCCTGTTCGGTTTCATCGAAACGCGAAGGATGCTGCAATGCCGTCGGAGGTATCAGAATATCATCGAAGAAACCCAAGGTAACATGGACACCTTCATGACTGCAATTACGAATTTTACCGGTCAATATGTTGCTAATGGCGGGCCGGAATACAATATAACGAAATATGACCTCTGTGTGCGAGGCGCCATCGCCCGGTAATATAATCGAGTCCTTAAGGGAGACAATGTCTTTCAGGGCTATGCACAAGCCAACATTTAACAGAACCTTTAATAAATACAATTTGATTAATAATTATAAAATTATGTATTTTTATTTAACTCACCTTATTGGCTAACTTTCGATTGATTTCATCGCGTATGGCTTCCACCAATTTCAGGTTAAATTGTTCGGGTGCAATGCGTATAGTGTCCTTAAGCTCGGCTAAAGCAAACATTTGGCCAGGATTTGTTTTTATATAGGGATTTTGTTTAATAAAACATTAAATTAAATAATGCAGCAGCACGTGCAAACAAAAATACAATACTACAGGAGAGATGTTTATATTTCTAAACAAAAACAAATGCTTCTTCTTGGCATGCATACCCATGATATGCAAACTAAAATGATATCACTCCTTACTTAATACTGCAGTTTTTTAAATTTTCTCTAGGAATACTAGTAATTATGGATATGTATGGTCAATCAAGATTAAATATAAAGGAATTAAAATATTAATAAAGATTAAAAACCATTTAGTATCAAGTAAAAGTAAAGTAAAGTAAACTTTATTAGAGTCTTCTTCTTTTTCTTTGGTAAATGTACGTACAAATCGAATGGTTAACATGTTTAACTTAGAACTATAGTCGTCTTGTTCTATTATACAGTGAAGTCGTAAAGATATGCTACTTAGCGTAATATGAGAATGTATTATTTTTCGTGCAAGGTGAAAAGAGAAAATGAGGCTTGCTCCCGGCCTCCGCTGATACGAGCAGCGCTTTGACGTCTGCAGTAATAATAAATAAGGAATCAAAACAAACTAAAAAACTAAATAACAAAGTGGTCTGTTAAAACAGTGTCGAACAGAGGGTATAAAAGTGATAGTTTTTAAATATAATTGTATGCTTAATGTATAGTTTATCACAGTTAATCGAGTGCTCAAAGAGCTTTTTTTTATGTGTAGTAAAATAACATTATCACAGATAAATGTATCATATAATAATAATCGAGTGCTCAGTGAGCTTATATGTAAAAACAATTATATGGAACCTTATGTGGTATATTAAGTTGCTATATAGTATACAATGTAAATAAGAATAAACTTATTTATCTATCCTCTGTGACAGCCAGACGCGATTTTTTGGTAGAATTGTGGCAAGTTGTGGTCAAGAAGGCTTTCAGGCGTTTCGTTCAAAATTCCTACAGATGATAGGTAGGAGGATTGTGACCAGGAAATTTCTTTTTCAATTTCATAAATTTCATTCATCAGATAGTTTTCATGCGTGGCAAGTTTTTCGACGAATGTTAATTGTTGGCGTTGGGCATATTCACAAAGAGGAACAACATTTGACGCAGTATAAATGTGGGTGTTTGAGTATCGTTTATGTTCATTGATGAAGTTTTTGTTGATACATTTCCTTATAATTTTTCTTTCCAGGACTTCTAATTCTTTGGCCACTGTTGGGGAAATAGAGAACCAGATCGGAAATCCATAGAGCAAAATCGGACGGATTGCTACCTTGTAGAGGAGGAGTTTTGTTTTTTGAGGTAGGTGTTTATTGTTTAACACATATGCAAATCTTGCTAAAACACCTTTTCCTTTTTTCATGATTGAGCGGGCATGGAAATTAAATTTCATTAAGTTGTTGAATTGGATGCCGAGATATTTGAAAGAGGTTCTGAATGGTATGTTTACGCCATCCAAGGACAGTTGTAGTGATTTGCTCTCTGGGACAACGTACCATGGACATTTTCCGGAGGCGTTACGTATGCAGATTGCAACAGACTTCGCGGCGTTTATTTGTATACCCCACTTTTTGTAGTAGCTGTTGATGTTCTGAAGGTGATTTTTTGCGTTATTTAATGCAATTGATGGTGATGTGTGATGCGCATAAATGAGGCAATCATCGGCGTATAAAATTGCTTTTGAGTTTTGACTAATGTGAGGGAAGTCGTGAAGGAATAGATTGAAGAGAAATGGTGCCAAAATACTGCCTTGTGGAACTCCGCTATTTACTTCTCCTGGAGGTGATGATGCGTCATTTATATGGACGGAAAACGTTCTTGATGTGAAGAAACTTTTCATCATTTTTATTAAATATGGGTCAATGCCAATTTCTATTAACTTGTAAATAATTCCGACGTGACATATTGAGTCAAATGCTCTTTGAATGTCTAACGATATTGCCACGGTACACATTTTGTTCCGCAAATTAGAAGTTATATCGTTATGGAACTTGAGAAGAGCATGTTGGGTAGAATGTCCGGGTTTAAATCCAAATTGGTAGACAGAGGTCGGATCTATTGTGAGTTCATTCAAAATTTTTTCTTTCAGGATTAACTCGAAGATTTTCCCAATGTTGGACAACAACGAAATTGGCCGAAAGTCATCAACAAACACAGCATTCGGCTTTTTTTTAATTGGAATGATTTGGGCGCGTTTCCATTGTATTGGAAAATACCCATTGTTGATGCAATTGTTGAACAGACAAGTGAAAAATCTTATTGTTGAGTCCGGAAATTTTTTAAGTATAAAGTTTGATATGCCATCGGATCCACAAGATCTTTTTGAATTGGTAGTAGCAATAACACTCTTTACTTTTTCAGGAGTAGTAAAATGATGGGAGTCGGGATTGTCCAGGACATTGAATTCGTCATTGAAAGTGTAAATGTAAGGTGTTGTGGCGTCAATACACGATGAAACCCTGGAATTCAGATCGTGAACTGGATGTGGAGGCAATTTCTCTATGAAAATTGATGAATAAAATAATTGAAACTTATTTGCAATTTCAGTGTTGTTTGTAATAATACTGTCGCCGTGTTGAAGTTTTTGACAAAAAGATGAATTTGTTTTTTTTGTAAATTGGGAAATTTTTTTGAAAGCTGATGGTCCGGGTTTTATTTTTTCCAGCTTGTTGCTAAACATGTTGGCAGATTCTATTTTTATGAGCTCCTTTATTATGTTTTTAAGTAATTGAACTTGTTTTGAGAGAATTATGTACTCACGGTTGATTCTGTTTCCTGTACGGTGGAAAATTTTTTTCAGTTCTTTCTGCCATTGGTGTTTGACTTTAAGAAAGTTTTTAGTTCTATCGGAAAGAGGGAATTTTCCGTCTTTTATAAATATCTTTTCTGAATGAGAGCTGTGAATGCTGTTAAATTCATTGTTGAAGTTCTCGATGATCATTTCAATCTCATTGTTTTCGAGATTTTTATTTGTCGGTGGCATAATTTGTTGAGTTATTGTCTCCAAATTTCTACGGAAATCATGCCAGTTTGTATTTTTGTAAGATGTGAAGAATTTTGGTTGCTTCAGAACTAGATTGGAACCATCGAGTTTCAAAGAAAGTTTTATTGGAAAATGATCCGAAAAGGTCGGAAGCGAAGATATGTGGTAGTTTTGAATTCCATGGTTTATTAGATGTGGGCTGATTAAGAAATGGTCCAAGTAAGACGGTCCATTTGGGTATGACGGCGAGGTGTCACAAAGCCGCGTGACATCTAAGGAGTTGTTGCTTAGCCATGAAAACAAAACTTTACCATTTGAATTTTCGTTTAAATCACCCCATACAGGATTTTTGGAGTTAAGGTCACCACCGATGATAAATCCATCAAAAGAAGTACAGAATTCCAAAAGTTTATTTAGATCTGCTTCGAGACTGTTGACAGGATAACTGCAAGGTATATATACCGTGCCAATCAAGAACATTTTAGGTCCGTTGTTTGAAGAAATTTCTACTTGTATGAAAGAAGTATTAATGCCAATATCGTTTTTTTGGATTCGAGTGAAAGTTATGTCATTTTTCACTATTACTGCTGTTCCAATAGGTGAGTTGTCGTAAATAAATTTGTATCCGTCTAATTTGACGTAACGGTTCCTTCGAAGGTGACATTCTTGAACAAGAGCAAAGTCAATTTTTTCGCTGTGGAGAATATTTTTCAGCTCAATTTGACGACTCGCTTCAACAAGTGAGCGAACATTGAATGTTAGGAATTTTATGAGCCTATGGTCCATAATTAGTCCTAACTTTTGTAAGAAGCCTCAAAAATTCCTTCTTGGCTTCATTTTTTGGCATGTTTTTAAAGTTATTTAAAAACAATTGAATTTCTTCTTCTAATGTTAGTTCTTCAGGATCAAGGAATAAATTTGCAAGTTTTAAAAAATCTTGTATCAGTGATGGTTTTGGAATGTTTCCGTTCGTAGATGCCGAGTTCGGTTTAAAAAGACTTGCAAAAGAATTTCCATGGTAAGTATCGGACGAATTTATGACTTTTTTGACGTTGTTTTGCGCAATGTTCTTAATTTCTATATCTTTAGTAGTTCTTTTCTTTTTGGCAGCTATGTATTGTTTGTATGCCGGACAGCCTCTATAGTTTGCGGGATGCCCTGATTTGTTGCAATTTACGCAAAAGGGTTCTGAGGTGTCAGATTTCTTACGCTGACATTCTCCTGGGAGGTGAACCTCGCGGCACTTTACGCATTTATATGGTGTGTTGCAGTTCCTGGATATGTGGCCGTAACCTTGACATCTACGACATTGTGGATCGCCTTCTTTCTTTTTGGGTTTTTCCCAGGAGATGGATTGGTTTTGTAGACCACGTATATGGGAGACTTCTCCGAAAGTTTTGCCTGGCAACAATGTTACTAGGAAAAGACCCGTGTCGGTGTTCATTTTTATTGACCTCGGCGTTTTAAATTTCGTTACGTTTGCCACTGTATTTGGAACAAGTATATCGAGTTCCTCTTTGATATTTCCTGGATCTGTGTTTGGATACAGGTCTCTTATTATTAGTGGGACTTGTTTAAGCTCCTTTGGTGTAAATGAGTAGGAGTGTACGTTTTTGGCCTTGAGTATAGCCATCATTGAGGCATGTACTTTTGGGTCTGCAAAGTAGATTTTGCTTTTTGCCCTGTTAACGTTTTTTATTTTAAACGAAGATTCTGGGACGGATTTACGTAAGGTCTCCACTAGGGCATTTATATCCACGTTAAATACAAAAATTGGAGGACACCAGGTTTTCTTGGTCTTTGGCTCAACAACGCTGTGATTTTGGGGTTTTTGATTAGTATCATTTTGATTTGGCAATTCAATGTTGATGTCTGCAAGGGCTCCTAGAATTCCAAATCTATTGTCGTCTTGCATGTTATGTTTCAATAACTGGTTATTTAAATCAGAAATGTCTACATTTATGGGGGACAGAACGCTTTCCAGTCTTTGTCTTTTGCGCTCATTTTGTTTTGTTTGCAATTTTGTTGTTGCTAACGCCGGTAAGGGATGATCAGAAGTAGTTGCAACTATTTCTGTAACATCAAGGTCCATATCTGGAAGAGTTTCAGGCACCTCCATTGCAAATAAATGCAAGTTTAGATGCCTGGGCTACAATTTATTGTTACAAAGTCTACTAGATTGAATTTATTTTTTATCTTTTATTGGAGCGAAAATCGGTACGTCTTACAAGTTGTAGGGTTCACTAGGTTTTTTTTCCATTTAGTATCAAAACTTCACTAAACCCATAAAGGGCAAGCACAGCAGATTGATAACAAGAAATATATTGTCCAAGACATAGGGATCTAAAATTCGCTGTTTCATATGGACTGAAAAGTTACGGGCTTAAAAGGGACATATTCGGAATATCTCGCTGGAAAAGATGTTTGCTTAAAAAAATCGCATACATAAAAATGTTTAATAAAAGTACCACTATTTATCTGGATACAGGAGATCTCTTATGTAATGAATACCAATTTTTTAAATAAGGGGCGGCTGCAATTTTTGATGGTTTTACACTCAAGTAACATTTATGACAAAAAGGTATCTCGACATTGAAAAATAGTAATAATTTATTTCGAATTTCTTATTTTTTTTATTTCTAAAATGATATGACTACACTCAACGTTTTTTCAATACAAACTACACATATGGATCAATATCCTTACTTTGCCGCAGCGTTTCAGGCTCGGCACCGACAGCACATGCCATCAAGGCATTTACACTTTGTTCCTCGCCCGCCTTATAAATATAACCATTCGCTTTGTCCAAATGATTTCTTAAACGCAACATACTCTCGGTGCTGCGAGAATCTAACAGGTGAAATGAGACCAAAGCATAATCCTCTACCATGGAACAAATGGCAGCATTTAATTTCTTATAACGTTTCAAAGAAGGTGTATCATCCAAGACTTCCAGTAAATATTTCAAATCCAATACATCTGTATAGAAATCCAAACTGAAATGCAACTTATCTTCGTGCTGTTTCAGCAAATCAGCTTTGGACAAGACATTCACATGCGGCAGACCCATACGCAACATCATATTCAAGGCCAACAACAAGGTGGAAACAAATTTACTCGGCTCCGAACAATAATGGGAATCAATTAAATTCACTGTCACCAAATGATAACCTTCCCTTTCCAAACGTTCAAATATTCTCGACATGGAGGCATGGTGGGTGTACAGTTCTACTTGTCCTGGACAATCGAAAAGGAAATAACGACATTCAGCTGATTTTTTCCTTAAATTTGGTAAAAGCCAATCTTCAAGATGTTCCTCTAGATATTCGGCACAATACATTAGAGCGCCATTGGGACCCAAATGCATGTTGTCCATTACATCTTGTACTGTAATCAATTCCATGACATCTATACAGGCTGTGTAATCCATATTTTCATTGGCCGGATCGAGATTCACAATACCCACTTGCCGGCCCAATTCCTTGTAGAACTTGAAGGCATTTTGACAATACGTTGTTTTTCCACTTCCCGGCGGGCCAACAATCAGTTGGCCATAGAGAGGATTGGTAAATTTAAGGGTTGCTGGTTGCAACATTGTCTAAAAAATATATAAAAAAATAATAATTTATTAACTAATACAAAAACAATTATTATAAGGTATCGTTGCGAATCTGAAGATGAAACATGGTGTATTTACGTTTGATGAGCATAAATCGAATTCGGGTGTCCAACTCTGAACCGATCCGCAAAAAGGAGCTTACTCACTATTTTTCCAATATAATCCTGTCCTAAGGTGCGAGCTGAGGACCTCCGTTGTTTACGAATAAGACACGAAGACAAGGCAATCAGCTGGATATGTTCATTAAATGAGCCGCGGGACTAGTATCCTAATTTCAACAAAAACGGATAAGGAATAAAGATCAAAACAAAAACACATACTATTTGCAGGGTTCTAAAGATCGAAAAACATAAAATAAGTATTTGAAAGTATATCTTCGCCGGAAAAACAGTTGAGAGCATAGTACAATGATATCAAGGTGGGGCTATGATACCGTATGATTTCAATTTTTTTATTTTCTTGGCTTAATATGTCATCTTTATTGGTTTATGCATGTGTTTTCAATTACAAAAAAATTGTTCAGAAAACATTCAAATTCGGATGTTTTCAAAGTGTTTATTTCATCGTATGCATCGACAAAATCTAGAGTTTTTGTAGCGAAATAATCCTTTAGAGATATATAGAACCTGGTTTTGAAAAGAAGTGTTGACCTTTCATTCAGTTTTCGCGGTTTTCAATTATTTATTCAAAATAAATGCAACAAGTTGTTTGATTTTGTTATTGTTTTGATACTATTTCTGACATTACAAGCCAAACAGGTAGACCTCTATACTTGCAATTTTTTCAAAGTTGACCTACCTTCTCTTCATTGTACCATGGCTGAGAGCAATAATAAAATAAAAATTCAAATAGTCGTAGCAAGTTTGTCTTCTCTATCGAGAAAAATTGTTTATTAATGGATTAGAAAATAACAATGTTTTCCAAGGAGCCATCAATCCCCAGTGAGTTCTAAGTATCTAAATAATCTACTACGGATTTTCTTTGGATATTTAGAAACATAAGACCATCCAGGGGCCTTCTTCAAATGGAAGACCTTAAAGAGGTCCCCTGTAGGTTGGAGCCGTTACCGAAGTAGTTCATCTACAGAAGATAAGAAGGGCTACATTTTTTATTTACTTAATAGTACAGCTTACTGTACTTTCTGGGCAAAAAAGTTCTACAGAGGAAATACTCAGACATATTGTACCCAAATGTACGAGCATTCTTAAGTTTTGAAATGGGCACAAACATTTTAGGGGTGTTAATTCCCTGGTTACATTAATATCCGTTTGGTTCTGCATTTCCACAAAAGTAGTAGATTCTTGCGGGTTCTGGGCAGGCCAATCTTCTCTAGCAGTTCTTGTTAATAAATTTACAATCAACTCGACTTGCAATATTCAATTCGAAGCATTTGGTTATTTGTAAAAAGTCATTTTTGTTCGAGTATATCGTTTCTTCAAATTTTTGCCCAACCATAATAAATTACCTTCGTACTCATATAACTATTTCTCAAGCAAACACCTTACATCACATTAACCGTCATTTTATCGCAGTTAATTGCTTATTAGGTTAATATTTTAAACTATAGGACTATGACATGGTATTATGCCTTTTCAGTGTTCAACAAGCTGGGGAGCCTATATAACCAGTATATAGAATTGTTCATAATTTCATAGCCCTTTTATTAAAATAGTTGCTCTATTCCAGAGGCTGCAAGAATCTATTAGCTTTTCAAGTTTTTCGATATCATAAAGGGAAAATCGGCTATCGTTCATTCTTGCAGTTCTAGAACAGTTCAGGTATGTATTATTATATTTAATTAAAATTTTTACATAGATTTTTTGCATACAATTCATTGTCTTCATTATGCTTAGGCTATTGATATTAAAAATAAATAACAAAAATGGCATGAAAAGTACACTTTTAGTACTATTTGAGTTTTTCAGTTTCCCATCCCTAACCACAATGTGTACAAAAAAATCAACAGTAAAAATCGATTATTCTTCCATCGATTTTGCCTTTCTAATCGTTTTCGTTCCAAAGTCGACCTAACTATCCCTAACGTCCACTCAAAGTTTACATTTTGTGAGTGACTCAAGAAGTCTGTCGACGTTGTTTTCTGTTTCCCGTGAAAAGTGATTCAAGTGATTTTCTTTTAAGTGAAAGACAAATACATTTTTATACTAAAATTTTTTTATATATAAAAAAATATTAAAACCACAATTGTTTTTGTTATAACAAGTAAAAACAAAACAAGCCAGGATTAACTATGGCCCAACAGCAACAACAACCAGCCTATGAAAACAGTGAGTGTTGCAATTTTTTTTCTCACTCATCATTTCCGTTTATTTCCCCCTTTGTGTGTTTGTGTGTGAGTGTGCAGAAAAAATAGAAAAATGATACCGAAATGAATGCGAAATCTTAGAAAAAAAGTTATTTTTAACCAACTAAAATACACATATACATGAGATTTTTCGGTTTTGGCCAAAAAGTAATATAAATTAGTCATATATAGATTTGTTGCTTGTGGAATAGGAGGCCGCCGGCTGGGGTTTGTAATATCAACAAGACACAACGACGACGACAACGACAAAGAAAGCATAATTCTAAACAAGTAAAAATTATGACCATAAATAGAAATGCTTGTGTTTTATTGTTGTTGTTATCGGAGAGCAAGAGTCAGCCAAAAGGTTGGATACGTTGGCTATGCTTCTCAGCTGCTTTTTGGTTTACCTTCCACTTCAAGAGTAAATTAAACAAATTAGCCGGCATTTAAACGACGACGACCCCCTTTACCTCTTACTATTCGTAACCTGTAAGCCGCACCCTCTAATGTTTTACTCGTATACGAGGGTTGTTGGCATGCGTTGGGAAAATAGGTATGATAATCAAGTTTTAGGGAAAATAGAATATTCGAAATTTTAATCATTTTTTGATAATTTTAGAAAAAAAAAAAAAAAAAAACAAATTAAATAAAATATCGAACATGTTTATTGCAGATATAAGAAATTAAGATCATTTCCTAGAGAACTATTATTACAAAGCCAAAAGGAAATTTCAATTCCGTATCAGTCAATGATGCTCTCTTCCAGAAATTTTAGAAAAACCTTAAGTTTTACATGATATTGGAAGTTGAGGTTGATTTAAAAGCCAAAATAAGTTAAATTAAGGTATACCCTATAAGTAGTTAAAAATTTTCTATATTCAATTGTTATTCTAAATTCTTTTAGATCTTCAGAATGAATACAAAAGAATGTGTCTCTAGGCAAAAGAATAAGGGGTATTAAAAAATGCCCATGAATTTTCATTATGTGTTTCAAAAAACTATTTTTTCGCCACAGGATTGAAACTAAGAATCCAAATGCATAAATATCTTTCCCTTGATAGTCAAGTAGCGAAGTCCTTTCCATCGACCCAAAGACTGTCACCATGGTTCTAAAATGTGAGCACAAAGCAACCAATTTGCAAAATTACAAGAAATCCGATTAGAAATGGCAAAAGTTCAATTGAATAATTGGATTTGGAAGGTTATGACCCTACGCCCAAGGTTTAGTACACCCTCCAGAATATTTTCGCAATAATATGCGGCGTTTATTCTGATGCCACGGCCGATTAATACGAGCGGAGAGCGACCATCGGCTGTTATGGCGGCCCACACCATCACCATGGACGTCGCTTGACTTTTGGTGGGCACCCGAAGGTGTACATTTTCAGCTGACCTGACCTCTTTGGCAAGTAAACACGATCATTTTGTTTGTTTACAAACTGCTGGAAAACGAATGTTTTCTCATCGGAGAAACCCAAAACCAGATTCGGCAGTTTAGCACTTTCGGCCAAGCAAAGCAACTCTTTGAGTCTATTTTCTTTCTGTTGCGGTTTAAGTTCTTGCACTTTTTGGAATTTTAATGGCTTTACCCCGAGCCCATGGTACGACACACAAAAGATTTATTCACATTTAAATGCTGGAGTGCTCTAACGATAGCCACTTGAAATCAATCATTTGTACCCTTGTAAACAATATAATGAGCTGTCACTGGAATAATTTTAACAGCTGTCGGACGAGTGTCTTAGAAATGACAGCAGTCTGAAGTTGGTTGCAGTTTTTTCATCTTACCCTGTAATATGGAAGCAAGTCCAATAATGGACCAAATTTTTTTATAATTTTACTCATTAGGAAGGCAAAAAAACCGCCAGTGTATATTCAGGTTTCATATTAGTAGTACTCTTACCCTTGAGAACTTCAAATGCCAGAATACAGCCAATTCGGTTGCAAATCTATCTTTGATTTTAAGTTAACCCACAGTATAGGACGACGTTATATATGAAGCTATATCATATGAATCCAAGTTGTGGTAAAAATTTGGAGGGATTTTCACAGACGGATGGCCTTGGCTAAATTGACATCGATTCTCATGCTGATCAAGAATATAAACACTTTGTGGGGTCTAAAATAGTTATTTCAGTATAAGCTTTAGAAATACCGAAAATCTGGAGGTATATAGAGATGGAAGAAATGCAAAATAATCTTCTTGTTGAGATATTGCATTCATCGGTTCCTTATACACTCTGTTCTGTTTATTAAAAAATTAAATCAGTGAACGATTTTCCTTCTCCGCATATTCTTGTGTTACTTCTTCTTTGAATACGCCATAGTTGCCTTCGTTGGTCCCATAATTATTTCCTCAAAATAGTTTGCCATTCTCTTTTCAAAATATACAATTACCAGACCATTGATGGGGTTTCAATTTCACATTCCCTTTTTATTTGAATTTCGGTACCACCCTCTTTTTTTCTAAAAACAAGCAACAATGATACCACCGCCAAGACCCATACAACACAACAATTGGAGCATTGAATTGTAATAAACAGAAACAATGTAAAAGAGAAAGAAAAACAAAAACAAAGATGCATTGTTGTTACGCTGTTTCCTGCGGTTATAAATTTGTTTATTGTCTACTCTTGTAGCAAGGCATATCAGTTTCCCAACACAACCCCCCACACCACAATATTTACTTCCGTTTTGGTATTTACTTTCATTTAACTCATTCTCTTAACAATTGTAATTAGCCAACTAACGAACTTCTGTTTTCTGCTTTCTTTTTAGAATTCATTTATGCAACCTTACCTCGTACACAACGTGGCCAACCCATTGTCTTGGGCTCGGATCCTAAAGGTAAAAATTTCCTCTACACCAATGGAAATTCGGTGATTATACGCAACATTGATGTGAGTATTAGCAACAAAATTATTGGCTTTGTAATTTATTAATCTAAGTGGTATATTTCTTTTCTATTTATTTTATGCAGCAGGCATGACGCGCAAGCAAATACATTTTTAGGTATATTTTCCATTGTAGAGAAGAAAAGTTAAGAAAAAAGCAGGAAAATACTTCTCACAGCATTTGTGTTCTATTTTTCACAAATGTAGACATTTTCATTTTCCATTGCTTGTCGTCTGTGCTTGCCTCGATCGTTGTTGTTCTTAGAAAATTTGTTGTTTATAGCCTAGAGTCTTGCTACGCCACCCACTCATGTGTACATTTCATTTAGCTAACAGAGTATTGGTTATGGCTGGCTGGCTGGCTGACTGGCTGACTGAATGGCCGGCTCGCTGGCAGACTGTCTAAATTTGCCGGTGTTTGTTTGTAAAGGCGGCAGACACACAATGAATGACTTTATCCAAAAGCGTTAGCAGCAGCTGTCCCACATTTGTGTGAACACAAATACACATAATGCACAATAACAACTTAAATTTATTTCATACATGGCGTGTGTTGATGATCCCCCTCCAAAAAAAAGAAAAGCACACAAAAGTTCTGCAGATATTCCAAACATCATTGGTTTGACCTAAAAAAACAGAACTAGAGGTTTAAAATAATGTATAGAATTTAGAAACAGATAAAGAATTTAAAAAAAAATTAAAATGGAATGAATAGCAAGGGAATTTGAACATGCTAAACCAGGAAGATTCCAGGCTACTCACTCGAAAAAAAAAAGAAATTTTGCCCCAGCCATTAATGCCTTAAAAAGACATTTCAAAAAAACATTTCCCATCGTTGATTGGAAGCCATATCAATAAAAACACTTTAGAAATTATTATTTTCTTTATCATGCCATTGTGATCAGGCAATTAAAGTCATAGTTGATCGATATTCCCCTTTCCAATATTTATTTATATTTCCATTTTTCTGCCACAGCCAACATTTTGTTCGATGTGTGTGCATTTTTTCATATGGCATGCCATACTTATCTTAAGACATTCTCGCTCGTATGTGCATCGTACCCATTATTATTATTTATGTTTTATTTATGCTGTTGCTCTTGTTGTCTTTCTTCATTAATTTTTTAATGATTTGTGTTTGTTCTTTTCTTTTTTTCTATAATTTCTTCTAGAATCCCGCTATTGCTGATGTCTACACGGAACATTCGTGTGCCGTTAATGTAGCTAAATATTCGCCAAGTGGTTTCTACATTGCATCTGGAGGTGAGTAATAGAAAAATCTATGGATATAGAGAAAATGGGAAAAGGAAGTTGAAGTAATTCGATAAATGCAGAAATTGAAGAGAAAACAGTTTAAATTATGAAAGGAGAACTTTGGCCGATGGAGGGTCTTTCGCTATACAAGATATACTAGAAATACCTTCAAGAGGTCTTCCGAAATGTTAGGAAAAAATAAATTTGGAGAAGCTGTATTTGCAAGTAGGAAAATTGAAGGCATTTGAAATTCAAACATAAAATTAATGGAATTCTATATTTTGAAAATAGGTCTCTGGCATATCGGATGCCTTCTGTGAAGGTATTCTACAAAAAGACTATCTTGAGGTCTTCTGAAAAAATTATTAATGGAGAAAATGGGAAAAGGAAGTTAAAGAAAATCGATAAATGAAGAAATTGGAGAGAAAAAAGTTTGATTGATAAAATTAGAACTTTTGCCGATGGAAGGTCTATCGCTATACAAGATATACTAGAAATACCTGCAAGAGGTCTTCCGAAATGTTAAATTTGGAGAAATTATATTTACAAGTAGGAAAATAGAATGCATTTGAAATTAAAAAAAAATAGAAGTCTATATTTCGAGAATAGGTCTGACATTTCGGATGACTTCTGTGGAGGTCTTCTACAAAAAGACTATCTTGAGGTCTTCTGTGGAGACCTTCTACAAAAAGACTATCGTGGGGTCTTCTGAAAAAAATTATGGATGGAGGAAATGGGAAAAGGATGTTGAAGAAAATCGATAAATGAAGAAATTGAAGAGAAAAAAGTTTGACTGATAAAAGGAGAACTTTTGCCCATGGAAGGTCTTTCGCTATACAAGATATATAAAAAATACCTTATAGAAATCTTCCGAAATGTTAGGAAAAAGTAAATTCTAAGAAATTATATTTACAAGTAGGAAAATTGAAGGCATTTGAACTTCAAACATAAAATTTATAGAATTCTATATTTTGAGAATAGATCTCTTGTATATCGGATGCCTTCTGTGGAGGTCTTCTACAAAAAGACTATCTTAAGGTCTTCTGAAAAAGTTGGGAAATTGATTGACATGAAATTGGAAAATTATAAAAAATTCACAAAATGTAGGTGGAACCTTTGAATATCCCCTAGATGCCTTGCAGGCAAAAAACGTTTTCTAGATGCCTTCCAAGTTGGAACTAAATGTGAGAATACATAAAGGCTTTTTTGACTGGCTTAAGTCGTCTGCTTATTTTTTCGTAGAGAAACAAAGGAGTATAAGGTTGACTTAGTTCGATTTTGGGCCTATGCTCCTTTGTTCTTTTCCGAAGAAGCCACCCGACGACTTAAGGCTGTCAAAAAAGCGTTTTATGTATTCTCACCTTTATCGTCTGATAGAAATCAATCACAAATTAAATTTGAAAAATAAGAAAAAATAAACAATATTTTGTAAGAATGACTTTTGAAGACCTTCTGCAGATAGAGGCCCTTCCGGAAGACTTACACACAAATAACAAAGAATTACGGAGGGATTCGATTTGCAATTAAAAAATTTAAGACGTTTAAATTCTGAAAAATGATCTAAATTGAATATTTTAATTGAAGAGAACTTTTGAAGGTCTTCTGCGGATGACAGGCTGTCTATGATACTAAGAACCCTTTCTAGAGGTCTTTCGAAATGCTGGAAAGGAAGAAGTTTCTATATACATATCACTTGCAACTAGGAAAATTGAAGACAAATGAAATCTCAGAAATAAGCAAACTTCAAGATATTGAAAGGATGATTTTTGAATGGATTTTTCACATGGAATGGTTTCCACAAAAGGTCTTCTAGACAAGGAACACTTTCCACAGGTGTCTCGAAATGTTGAAAAAAGAAGTAGGCTGAGATTCGAATATGCAGCTAGAAAAATTGAAGACGCTTTTAATTGGAAAAATTTGAAGCCAGAACACCTTTTTGAAGTCAGCTGGAGGTAGAAAACCTCGCCCTTTTAAGAGGCTTCAAAATATAGAATGCCTTCTAGAAGTGTTCCCAATAAAGAATGTTTTCGGCAAGGCATCTCAACATAGAATATCTTCAGAAGGGGTTTAGCTTGGTGAAAGGGTACAATACTATCCAATGCAGCCCTTCGGATCAGCCTTCTAAATTGTTGCTTTTCTCGTCGAAAAACAGACTCCCAAAGCTTCGCCTTAAATTCGTAAGATTTGAGAAAAACGATGCTGATGGGAATGGGGTCCTCTTAGATGAGACTATCTCAAGCACTTCACTCTGGCGCCTGTTTGTTGTAGTTTTTTCTATTCGTTTTCATCCTCTTTCCCAGCTGTTTTAACTTCTTCGACTTGACAGAGAGTGGGATGTATTGCTCGTCGAGAAAAACAATGCGGATGGTTGTTTGAGAGAGGAATGGGGTCCTCTTAGATGAAACTGTAACTATCCCAAGAACTTCACTCTTGCGTCAGCTTGTTTCAGTTAATTTTGTGGTCGTTTTCATCCTCATTCGCCAGTTGTTGTGCCTTGGTAGAGAGTGGGAATTTTTGCTCGTCGAGGAAAAAAATGCGAATGGTTGTTTGGGAGTGGAATGTGGTCCACTTAGATGAAACTGAGACTATCCTAAGCACTTCACTCTAGGGTCCGCTTGTTTCAGCTTTGTGTGATCGTTTTCAACCTCTTTCACCAGCTGTTAAACCTTCTTCACGATGACAGAGAGGGATATCATCTTCCCTTTGGAGTTGTACACTTAGAACACATTGGAGACGTCCTTTTGAGTTTCCTCAAAAACTTTTGTTCTTTTCGAATGAATATTGGAAAACTTGGTCGGATTCTTGTTCATTGCCTCTTTCTACCTCTAACTCCTTTCAGTACGACCTGTATCAAAAGCAATTGATTATCGGATTTGTCCGAGTCAATAGAACCGCCCAGCATTTCTGGTAACATTCTGGAGAAACGCGTCTTAAAGTTATTCAAAATGTCATTAGGGATGCCCTACAGGCTGAGCTTTAGTTTCGAATCCTCACGACATAAGCTGATGGCTTTCTGGCTCTATGTTGTCATAATATCATCAATCAAGTCTTAAATCTCGATTCGTCCCTACCCACAGTTGCTGTCTGTTTCATTGCACATGAGATGGTACGCCACGTGACCATGATATCAGCAAAGTAAGCCTTTTTGGAGCCAACAGTTGTCGGACAGTTGATTTTTGATTTCATTTTCAGAAAACACGTTTCTGCATCTTTACGATAATAAGGAATCTTGTTGGGAACTTCCATTACCCGCCTGAATTTTTATAGCTTTCAATTCCAAGTTTCTATGAAGATGCCCTCTCCTGAGAGAAATTGTTTTCAGATGACTAAATTCTAGGCCTTCTTATTTTTTCTTTTTATTTGGATATTTGAATTGAATGATTTAGTTTCTTTTTAGAAGACATGCTTCTACCCTTACTCAATACTTTTACGATAATAAGGACCCTTCTAGAGGACTTCCATTTTATGCCTAACATTTTTAGCTTTCAATTCCGAGTTCCTATGAACATGCCCTCTCCTGCAAGAAATTATTTTCAGGTGATCAAATTCAAAGCCTTCTTAATTTTTTCCATTTTCTTTGAATATTTCAATATTTGAAGTGATTACATATTAAGAAATTAATCAATTGAAAGAATTACGAAATAATTTATCAAAAATTGTTTTGTGGATTATTCAAGATTATGACTAAACAACGCCAGGTGAGAATCTATGAATCACATGCGGACATATGTTATTCATTTGCCGCCACAGCTGTACATATTTTACATTCCATTCTGAAATTAATAATTCTTCTGACGCATATTAAATGAATCGAAAAGTCAAGGTTGAAATGAAAGTGAAATTTTTTAAATTTTCACATTATTTTGTCAAAGGAGTTTCATTTGGGGATTTTTAAAAATTTTCATTCGCATGAATTGTAATCTTATCTTTTGCAGAAAGAGAGGGGGATTTTAGTTTGTGTTTTTTCGATAACAAAACAAGTCAACTATACTGCGGGGCCCTTATCAAAATCTGTAAAGGCTAAAATGGTTTGTTTATGTTTTATCAGAGCCCGGGGAGAAAGAAAAGAAGACCCTCATAAAAAAGTGTTATTCATTCATATTCACTTTGAATGGCATTCTTTTTTTTCGATGCCACAGCTCAAGTGAAAGCCCCAAGCATTGTTTGTTAATCTCTGTTAGGATGATTCATCAATGGTTTTATGTTTAGATGCAGTGACTAAACCACGGCAGCAGTTGTGAGTTAGCGTTGATGTGATTTTTCGTATTTATCTTATAAATGATTTGAAGCCAAGCAAAACCCAGGCTATGGACAATGGGTCCCAGCCAAGTGTGAAGTAATGGGAAGCCACATAAAAAATATAAAAGAAAAAATAAATTTAATTTAATTTATTTCAAATTTCAATTATTTTTTTAATTTTTTTTTCCAGATCAATCTGGTAAAATTCGCATTTGGGACACCGTCAACAAGGAACACATTTTGAAAAACGAATTCCAACCCATTGGGGGTCCCATCAAGGATATTGCCTGGTCGGCCGACAATCAGCGTATCGTGGTTGTGGGTGAGGGCCGTGAACGTTTTGGCCATGTATTTATGACTGAGACGGGTACATCGGTGGGTGAAATTAGTGGCCAATCTAAACCCATTAATTCATGTGATTTCCGTCCTGCCAGACCTTTCCGTATTGTCACAGGTATACCTAGAGATTTTCATTAAAATCAGAATTGAAAGTAACTTCCCAAATTGATTTTTGCAGGCAGTGAAGACAACACCATTGGTGTCTTTGAGGGTCCCCCATTCAAGTTCAAGATGACCAAGCAAGAACATTCACGCTTTGTCCAGGCCGTACGTTATTCGCCCGATGGCAAATTCTTTGCCTCAGCCGGTTTCGATGGCAAAGTCTTCCTCTATGATGGTGCCACATCTGAGTTGATTGGTGAATTTGGCAGTCCCGCCCATAAGGGTGGTGTCTATGCTGTGGCATGGAAGCCCGATGGCACCCAATTGTTGACCTGTTCCGGTGACAAGACCTGTCGTTTGTGGAATGTTGAAAGCCGGGAATTGGTTACGGAATTTGTTATGGGCACCACTGTGGATGATCAACAGGTGTCTTGTCTTTGGCAGGGTGAACATTTGTTGACCGTATCCCTGTCCGGCCACATTACCTATTTGAATGTCAATGATCCCTCGAAGCCATTGCGCGTGATTAAGGGTCACAATAAACCCATTACTGTTTTGGGTTTGAGTGATGATCGCAGCACCATCTACACGGGCAGTCATGATGGTGTGGTAACCAGCTGGAATTCGGGCAGTGGTGTCAATGATCGTGTAACTGGGGCTGGTCATGGTAATCAGGTGGGTCCTAACACAATTTAATGTCTTAAAAGAAACCCTCTAAATTTCCTTGTCTTTGTTAACAGATGAATGGCATTGCTGCCTGGGGTGATTTTGTCTACACCTGTGGCATTGATGACAGTCTGCGTCAATTCAACATCGAATCGAATGCTTTCACCGATTATGTGGTGAAACTGAATTGTCAGCCCCGTGGTTTGGCCATTTTCCGTAATGAAAACATCATTGCTGTGGCCTGTGTCAAAGAAATCACCTTGGTGCAGGATCAAAAGAAGGCCTTCTCCTTGCCCATTAAATATGAAGCGAGCAGTATTAGTGTTAACCCTGAAACCCTGGATGTTGCTGTGGGTGGTGATGACCAGAAATTGCATATTTATTCATTGAATGGCACCACCCTGGAACCCAAAGTGGAATTGGATCACTTGGGCCAGGTTACCGATTGTTCGTACTCGCCAGACAATAAGTACTTGGTGGCTTGTGATGCTCACCGCAAAGTTGTCCTGTACAGTGTGGAGGAATATAAGGTAAAGAATTTTGTTTAAAATATTTAATTTAAAAATTGTTTTAATTTTTTATTTATTTATTTTTTCAGCCTGCCCACAACAAGGAATGGGGCTTCCATAATGCACGTGTCAATACTGTGGCCTGGTCACCCAATTCCCAATTGGTGGCCAGTGGTTCTTTGGATACCACCATTATTATCTGGTCGGTTACCAATCCCGCCAAGCACACCATTATCAAAAGTAGGTTTCCTTTTTTATTTCTGCTAAAGTTTATTTTCTAATTAATTTTGCCTTTTTTGCAGATGCTCATCCACAATCCCAGATTACTCGTTTGATATGGTTGGACAATAACACTGTGATCTCCACTGGTCAAGATTGTAATACCAAAGTTTGGCATGTTGAGACAATCTAAGACCAGCAACCAAAACCACTATTACCACCTATGTCATTTAAAAATAAAACAACAACAACAGACTCTACTTAACAATCTTCTACAAAAAAAAAAAAAAAAAGCAGAACAATAACAAGCCCAAACCATAAATGCAATTATCGTGGAAATTCGTGTTCTGTTGAGTTTCATCACTTCTTTATAAATATGCATTTTTTACTTTACTCCCCTATTTTTTTTGGTTTCCTCTTTTGTTTGCATTAAGTTAAAAAAAGTATTTCAAATTGTGTTTCTAATCTAATTATTTATTTATGTAATTTAAAACAAAACAAAAACACCCAAATCAATTATGTTTTTCCCCTCTTTCTTACATCGTTTGTAATACATGAATGTTTTCTACACACCAAATTCCTCCCGCCCCCCTCAAACTATGTATGTACGTTTTTTGGAAGCGTAAATTTTATATCAGAAAAATATATAAGAAAAAAAAAATACGGAAAGAGAAAAAACAAAACAAATAAAAATTTATTTTGCAAAAAATAGAAATTCATCTTTAATTTTTTCAATCAACTTTTAATTATAGTAAAAAAACGGATTGTTTATCGTCTCCTTCTTGAGTTGGGGAAATTTTCAAATGGTTTTACATAAAGAAACCCCTGGTTTTAATTATTGTAAGGGTCTTGGCCATATTTTCCTATTTTCTTGACTTTAACTTTTTTGTTTTTTTTTTGGTCGTAGAACAATTTTTAAATCTGAGTTTAATGTTTAATTTTATTAACTTTTTATATATATAAGGTCCCTTGTATGTATCTTAAACCTCTTCTGTCGAGTATTATCAAATCTATTTGGAAGATGGTTTCCACAACTCAGGCTGGCTATTGGACAGTGAAATTTTACAAAAATTGCATCTAATTGCGAGAAAGTGTTAAATTTCTCAAAAATTAACAGGAATTTTTATTAACAAAAATCATATCATATTTTTTCATGGAACATATTGAATATACAAATTTCTTTTGTTCAGAGACTCCCAATGAAATTTGATGTAGAATAACTCTTCCTTTAACACTTTTCCCAAAAATTAAAGTATAAATGGAGATTTTGACTTGGATCGGAAAACATGTTAAATTAACAGTCAAAAAATCAAACACATCATTTTCACTTGTGGTATATCAATTTCGAATGTAATTATCTTAAAAACTATTGTACCTAGATATGTGGTTTATTCTGAGATCTAGAGTGAAATGTTGTGTAGAATATTTCTTCTTTTGACACCTTTTGCCTAAAACGAAATTTTATATTACTTTGAGGCCTCAACTCGAAAAAAGATTGAAGAAAAATTTGATCAAAAAAAAAAAAAAAGGAAAAAGTTTTGGTTTTTTTTGTAAACATTGAAGCAAATATTTTTTGATACACATTGAATTTGATTTGAAATAAATATTCCTTTAACACTTTTCCCAAAAATTGAAGTCTAAAGGGAGATTTTGTCTTGGAATGGAAAAAATGTTAAATCTACCGTTCAAAAAATCAAACACATTATTTTCACTTGTGGTACATAAATTTCGAATGTAATTATCTTAAAAACTATTGTACCTAGGTATATGGTTTATTCTGAGATCTAGAGTGAAATTTTGTGTAGAGTATTTCCTCTTTTAACACCTTCCACCTAAAACGAAATTTTTTGTTACTTTCAGGCCTCATCTCGAAAAAAGGCCGAAGAAAAAAAATTGATCAAAAATAAAGGAAAAAATTATGGATTTTTTTGGGAATATAAACTTTTAAATGTATTTTTTTAAAACTATTGTACCTAGATATAGTGTTTATTCTGAGATCTAGAGTGAAATTTTGTGTAGAGTATTTCCTCTTTTAATACCATCTGCCTAAATCGACATTTTATGGTACTTTTAGGCCTCAACGCGAAAAAAAGTCCAAAGAAAAAATTTATCAAAAATAAGGAAAAAATTATGAATTTTTTTTGGGAATATAAAATTTCGAATGTAATTTTTCTTAAAAACTATTGTACCTAGATATATGGTTTATTCTGAGATCTAGAGTAAAATTTTGTGTAGAGTATTTCCTCTTTTAACACCATCTGCCTAAATCGACATTTTATGTTACTTTCAGGCCTCAATTCAAAAAAAAAACCGAAGAAAGAAATTATCAAAAATAAAGGAAAGAATTATGGATTTTTTTGGGAATATAAAATTTTGAATGTATTTTTTTAAAACTATTGTACCTAGATATAGTGTTTATTCTGAGATCTAAAGTGAAATTTTGTGTAGAGTATTTCCTCTTTTAACACCATCTGCCAAAATCGAGATTTTATGTTACTTTTAGGCCTCAACTCGAAAAAAGTCCAAAGGAAAAAATTTAAAAAAAATAGAAAGAAATGTGTTTTTCGGGAACATTGAAGCAAATATTTTTATAATATGCAATGAAGATAGAGAATTTTGTTAATTGGTAACCTATAGTGAAATTTGATGAGGAATATTTTTGTCTTTGACGTCATCATTCTAAAATAATGTGTAGTAGGAGATTTATGCATAAACCCTCATAAGTACGCATTTATCCTAAAAATGTATTTTTTTTTAGTTTTTTGAATTCCTGGCGTTTATGTAAAATTTAGACTCTTGACGTCTTCTAGAACCTATAGTAGAATCTTATGACAAATAATTTTGCAGAATATTTTGACTAGCTAGGATCCTATTTTAAGTGAGTTTTTAACCATATTTTGGAAGAAGGAGCATAAAGACCAATTTGGTGACTAGATTGGCTGTTAAATTTTTGGAACGAAATAATCTTTGTATTTTCATCTGCAATATTGCCGAGGGCTCCAAATACCTAAAATGTAAAGATTTCCAGAAATCTTAATCCAAAATATTCCCAAAGGATGGAAGTGTGGGGGAACTTTCTCTCTCAATTTTGGTTATTTTGCAAAGTAAACTCTTAAAACACTGAAGCACGTGTCTTCTCTACTTTCTGGTATACTTTCATAATCTATGGAATTTTTCTTGTAATTTTTTTTCCTTAAAAAATATATTAAAAAATTCTAGGATTTTTTGGCCTGGGGTCCCTGAAAATTATTTATAAAATATCCATAATTATTCATTTATGAGTACTTGAAATGAATCTACGATTATTAATTTAAATCATTTTTTATATCCATGAATATTTGTCACTTCTAGTTCATTAATACTGGAATTATGCGGCGTATGAGTATTGACATTTTTCATACGCCCAATGTCACCACAAATCGTCCATAGTCTTCTATAAAAAAACCATTTTGCTGTTCTCAAAAAAAAAAAAATCAAAAAAAGAAAAAAAAAAACAAAAACTATTTTTAAAACACATTTTTTTATTTATTTTTTTTTTAAATAAATTTCATTTTTTGTTTAAATAAATATATATTTTGTCTTTTGTGTGCATTGTGTTGTGTTCTTTTGTGTGTATAAAAAAATTATTTAAATTTACTTAAAATTAATTCCAACTAAACTAAGAGAGTGAGTGAGTAAGTGTATGGATGTGTGTACGTGTGCTGTGTGTGTGTTTGGTGAGTGTGTTGTACAGTAGAAGGGTTTTAATGAGCAGAGAGAAAGATAATTAAAGAGAAAGAGAGAAATTTGCATATTATAATAACTTAGGTGTAAACAAAGAACCGTTGCTCTCTCTTTATCTTTTCATTGATACAAGTGGTGAAGAAATTAAGAGAGAGTATTGTTTCCGGTTCAGGATACGTATAAGAGTTAACTATTTAACTATGATTTGTGTTGTTGGTTTTAGCCTCCAATGGATAAAATGAGAAAAAATAAAATAAAATATATAAAAATAAAAATTTGCATGGCACAGTGTTCCGAAATGGCTTTTAAGATAAAAAACATTTATTTCTTTTGTGCCATTGCCAATCCATTTAATTTAATTCTAGGAGCAACAAAGGCTGCAAAACTGGGTGGGGATGACTTTTTCGAATAATATATCACAGTCGGGACTAACAATGGGATGGATGGTTGGTTTCTAAAAAAAAAAACATTTTTCTATAAAAAAAAAACGAAAAAAAATAAAAATAAATAAAATAAAAAAACCAAAAATAAGTCAAACCTATAAAAACGACTTAGGGGTAAATCTAAGTTGGACTATTTCTTGCCTCACCCCCACCATCAATTGATTTTGTTTCATTATTTTGATCCTGTGTAGCTGTCATGTTGGCTGTTGTGTTGTTGTTGTTGTTGGCTGTGGGTGAGTGTGTTGTAGATGGCGTTATGGTTTTGTGTGAATTATCCGCAGCCTCTTCCGCTATTAGGGCATTTGATTTCGTTAAGAAATTCAGGGATAACTCTTTGGTTGGAGTTGCTGCCGATGTGGGTGTTGCGCTGGGTGTTGGTGTGGTAATTGGACTTTCTTGTTTTTCCCTCAAATGTTGTTGTTGCTGCTGTTGTACCGCTGCTGCAGCCAAATGAAATTGATTGGGCAGAAACATTTGCTGATAACTCAACTGGGCAGCCAATTGTTGTGAGGACGATGAGGAGGAGGGTGATGTTGGCAGATGCTCCAGTTGTAATCTTTCCCCAGCCGGACCACCGGTGGCATTTTGAAAGGCAGACTGCAGACCAGGTGGTGTAAGTGGTAGATTTATTTTCATATCCTCGGCATTTGGTGAGTTTCCGGCGGCTGCAGCTGCTGCATTCAACGTCGAAGCCAACAGTTTATTTGCCCGTTTGCGCCGGGCATCTGTCTCGCAGGGTGATGGCGCTCCCGGATGACGATAGGAGACATGTTTGCGTAGAGCATCCTTGCTGCGTGACACATGGGAGCAGACATTGCAGGCATATCTGGAAAATGGAGAGAGCATTTGGGGGGATTGGTATTATTTCGGATATATCTGTGGTAGAGTCGATTATTGAAAAAAATTATCTAAGAGGTTGTAGATGGGAATTAGATGACCGAATTCGACATCTACTGGATAGTTAAAACGAAATACAAAAGCTACAATTCAGCAGATGTCTAAAAATTCGGCGTCTATGTTGGTGTAGATGTGCAATTATGCCATCTATTGGACAATAGACGATAAAAAATGGCATATACTATGCAGTAGATGATTGAATATGACATCTACTGTGGCGTAGATGTACAGTTCTGCCACCTACTGTGAAGTAGAAGACAAAATATCTGATGTATTATGTCGTAGATGCAAACATATACCATCTACTAGATTGTAGATGACCAAATACAACATCTACGACGACGTAGATGTAGTGAAATTGGCATCTACGGCGGCGTAGATGTGTAATTTTGCCATCTACTTGGCAATAGAAGACATAATTTGACATAAACTTTGCAGTAGATGACAAAATTTCGTATCTACGGTGGCGTAGATGTGCAATTCTGCCATCGACTTGGCAATAGAAGACATAATTCGACATCTACTTTGCAGTAGATGATTAAATTTAGCATCTACTGTGTCGTAGATGTGCAATTCTGCCATCTACTGGAAAGTAGAGGACAAAATATCTGATGTAACATATTGTAGATGCTAACATACACCACCTACTAGATTTGTAGATGACCAAATACAACATCTACGATGACGTAGATGATTAAATTCGGCATCTACGGCGTCGTAGATGAGCAAGTCTGCCATCTATTGGACAATAGGATGAATAAAATGTCCAAATATAACATCTACGCTAGAGTAGATGGTAGAAGAGGTTACTTATAAGCCAGTAGATGGAAAAAAATCCAACATCTACGAATTAATAGATGACGAAATTTAACATCGGGGTATTTTATGGTCTAAATTGTGACATTTACTGTCGAAGTTGGGGAAAATATGACATCTACGAATCAATAGATGTCAAAATATTGCATCTACAGTACAGTAGATGAATAAATACGGCATCTACGGTGAAGTAGATGTTGGAATATCTCACTTATAGTTCAGTAGATGAAAAATTTTGGCATCTACGAAGCAATAGCAGCAAAAATATTTCATCTACAGTCCAGTAGCTGAACACCTTTGGCATCTACAATGCAGTAGCTGACCAATATGGCATCTACAATGAGTTATTATGACATCTATCGTGCTTTGGTGTCTATATTTGGCATCTACAGTTATGTAGATGATCCAATATTCCGCTAACGGCAAAATAGATGCCTAGATATATCATCTACAGGTCCATCTATGGTGCAGTAGACAATCTTCTCGGCAGTAGGTGGACATATTTTCCATGTAGATCTATGGTCTGACATATTGGCATAGGCGCCATCTATAATTCCGTAGATCACGGAAACTGGGAAATATAAATTTATTTTTTCCAAAAAAAAAATGTTTTTACCTCACATTCTGATGTGTCTCCAGGTGGACTCTCAGATTATATTGATTCGATAGCTGTTTGTGGCATATAAAACAGGTGGCATACAGCTTCGAACTGGACGGTGTTTTATTCTGGGGACTCTGGGGTGTTGACAATTTTTCCGTCGGCCCTCCTCCCCCAGCACCACTACCACTTCTAGAGTCCTGTTTGGCCGTCTCATTGGCATTACTGGACGCAGCAGCAGCGGCTGCTGCAGCTGCACAAGATGCCGCATATTTATCCAAATGTTGTTGCAATTTTAGCTGATCCTCTGGAGATATTGTAAAACCCAACTGGGGATGGGGTAATGGTGTGGAATTTGGTTCCGCCGATGTGGGGGAGGAGAAGAGCGAAGATTTCCCAGCCATTAAAGGAGATGTTGCCGCGGTGAAGTTTTCCATGGATGTTTTAATGTTGAGCGGATTTAATTGTGACTGCAGATGAGAGGAGGATCCATCGCCATGATGATTTGCCAATTTTGTTTGGGCGCCACCACCTCCACCGCCACTGCCAACCATGGGGAGCGATGAACCTCTTAGATTCTCCACAATTTTATCAATGCGTTTCATGTCTTTTTGCTGACCCACTGAGAGGGAACTGGAGCTACCCATTTGTCCCCCTGTTAAAGGGCATTTCTTCTCCAGACCCGTACAAAACCGTTTGCTGCCATGCATGTCCTCATTACGATTTGCCTCCTCTGTGCCGGTGGCTGGCGGCAACATGGCCAAATTGGCCTGATACAAATTACACTGCTGCTGATATTTGGCCAATATTTCCGAAGTCTTGTTCAGGGCAGTTTGGGAAAAATTCAAAGGCTGATGCATTAGATTCGGATAGAATTGTAAGGATTTAAGGAAAAAATTCTCCAGCGGAGAGGGAAATTTGGAATTTAATACAGGATTAAGTAGCGGGCTAAAGGGGGAGGGAGGTAGATTGGTGGCTGCCAAGGCACTTGAAGCTGACTGCAGGGGTGTTGGTGGCATGGTGAAATTATTTGAGTTAGCCTGTGATGAGGATGAGGGCGGTGGTGTGGGTGGTGTCAGGGATTTTTCTGGTTCCTCGGGATCTTTTGGCTCCCCTGTCGATTTGTGTGAGGGTTTCTGTAACTTTTCAAGAGAAATTATTATTATTAAGGACTCATTTTAATATTTCAGGTACCATACATTGTTGTGAACATCTGCCAGGCCCTTGATGCCCAGCGTTTCGGCCAAACTCAATAGGGTGGGTATTTGTTCCTCATAGACATTCACCTCACCCGAATACATAAAGGTTAGCAACGAAACAATGGCCTGAAATGAGGCTCCTGGTATAATTATCACCGGATGATGGGTATTATCCAGGGTCCGAAATATCTCCAGGAAAAATGAACTACAGGCACTGAGCACAACACGATGGGCACGCAGTGTCCGACCCTCAGCCGATATGGTAACATCGGTTAGATGACTTTGATCCAACAATATGGGCAGTGTACTTAGTAAACTGGTCTGAAATTAAATAAAAAAGAATATATTTGGTTTTGTTATTAATGGCAAAAAAACAGCCATGTTCGGCCGGGCCGAACTTTTAATACCCTCCAACATTTGGAAGGAACTTGAAAAATTAAAAAAAAAAACCGGAAACTGCTACTTAAATGAAAACTGTTATAAGGAGACTATACGAAGACGTAGACTTTTTGTCATAGACTGTAGTACCCATTACGAACTTTAAATACCAAATATGAAACAATTCCGGTGAATAGTGTCGCTAAAATCATCAAAATACCGAATATCGGAAGGCACCGTTATATGGGGGCTACACAAAAACGTGGACCTACATCACCCATTTTCAATACCATTTTTGGTGCTCAAGAAAAAATATCTCTTTTCAGTCAAATTTCTCTTTGCTTATTTAAATCAAGAACAAAACAGTGTTAAGTCATTATTTATACAAATGTTTTTTTTTATCCATTTGCTTTATAAATTATTTTGGCAAACATTCGTGTTTAAAAACAATTAAATAAAATATAAAGAAAAACAGAATTTTAATTTTCTCTTAAATTATCTCTTTTTCGGTTCATGTTCTAGAACACGGTTTGGAGCACCGCTGATTAAAAGAGATCCCGGTTTAACAAAATTTTCTCTATCTCTCTCTCTCTCTTCTACAATATCTCCGCTATTCTCTTTTGTTATAAATGCGTGTTTACCATTGTCCGTGAACAAAAATAATCAATAAAAAATATTTTTTTGGAGAGCCATGGTTTTAAAATCATGGTTTCTTTTACAAATATAACATATTTATATTTTTTATTTATTTTGTAGAGACAATATTTTTTAATAAAATATAAGGGAAATAATTTTTTATTATTTTTAATTAAATATTTGAAAAAAAATTAAGGTACCCTTAATGGTGGAATCAAAAATATACATTTCCCCAATTTATTTGTAGAAAATGCAAAACCAAAAATCACCAAAAAAAAAAAAAAGAAAATTCCGAAATCACATTCAACCAGACAACAACTTATCCAAATATTATTAAATCTCTCATTTGGACAGACGAACAAAAACAAAAACAACAACCAAAAACTGTCCAAATATTTTCATACACATTCATTTTCAAATGCATTCAATTTTGACAAGATTGTTGTTGTAGTTGTTGTCACTTTCGGTTGGGTCCAACGTTAGTTTGTTATTTTGGATTTCTGGCTGACAATTACGATTGGAAGAAATGGAAGGACGGACGGAGAGATAGACAAACGGACAGCCAGACCCATAGATTTTCAAATGGATGGATTGCCCGGTTGACCGATAGACCAGCCAGCCGGCGGCCAAGAGACGGCAAAAACACTAAATTTTCATTTGTAGGAAATGTATTTTTGGGCTTTTTTCTTTTCCTGTTGCTCTTCTATTTTTTTACCCCCTTGCAATGGTGGAGAGAGTGGAAGAAGAAAGAGTGTTTATCGGCCCGGGGTTGGTTTGTTTTATTTTTACAAGACAACAATTTTTTGGATAGTTTGAGATGTTCACAAAACAATAACAACAACAAGGAAAAAACCCCAAATAATGAGCATCCAATTCGCCAAATAAATTGGAAAAGGCTAGGAGGCCAGGCGACCGGCTAGGCGTGTTACAGTTCGGAATTATTTAAAAATAAATAAAATTTTGTGAGTCCCATTCGTTCGAAGAGCAGCGATTCAATGGTCTTTTTGGATGGGCTCGCAATGTAATGTGGCGAACTTTTGTTGTGGTTTCCATACAACTAGCCGTTAGAGTGACACAGCGTCGCTCTGTCTGTCCCACCCAATAGCTGTCCACTTTTGTATTTGTTGGCTGGCCAAAATTTATGGTATTTTTGGATATTTGAGTTTTAATGGCAAATGACAATTTTCCGTTTTATTTTGGCGATTTGGCGTTCGTCCCGTCGATGTCTGTCTTGCTTTTTTCTTGTTGTTTCTGGGTTGGTGTGCCTCAAAATGTCCAGTCATTTGTAAAATTCATTTTTAAAAATAAATAAACAACAAATTCGCCAGAGTAACATATTTATGTATGTATGTATATGTGCGAATACATTTAGGTGACATAAACATGCAAATAGATTTGGAAAGAAAAAAAAATAGTTTGAAAACCCCGTATTGGAAATTATGGCAATTACTATGGATTTGTCATCCATATCGAATATTTTATGCTCTAATTGTAAACTGTTGGGTATTTTCAATAATTAAAGAAAAAATTTAAAAAAATATATCGTAAGTTTTCAAAAAAATATAAAATTATTTGTAAAATAATTTTTTGTTATATTTTTTTTTAAATATTTTTAAAGAACAGTACAAGATCTCTGTTTACGAATAATTAAACATGTTTTTATATTAAAAGAGAATAGCGGCACTACCTATTGTAGTAGAGAGAGGGAGAGAGAGAGAATTTTGTTAAACAGGTATCTCTTTTTATACAGTCCATTACAAAAAAAAAGATAAGAGCATGTGGGGACAGACTTACGATTCATTTGAAATAACTTATATAGAATTGAAGTTGTGTGAACTTGTTTTAAAAATATATATTTTTTTTTTCAAAGACCATTTAAACACAGATTTTTACATGTCTTTCCGAAAAATATTTTTGTGTTTTTCTATACCCTCCACCATTGTATGGAAGCTATATTAACTTTGTCATAACTCCTCCAAATATTCATAATAGACCCTACGAAGTACAGGGTGAGATGAAACAATGTAACCAACTTCAGACTGCTGTCATTTGTAAGCGACTCGTCCGACAACTTCACGGACTATGGTAAAAACGCGTTTATAATTAAAGAGAATAGCGGGGATATTGTAGAAGAGAGGGAGATAGAGAGAATTTTGTTAAAACGGGATCTCTTTTAATACAGTTCACATTAAATAACATAAGAGCATGTATGTGGTGAGTAGATCTTCGAGTCATTGGAAATACCTTAGATAGAATTTTCCGTTGCAACTTGTGATAGGTATTACTCTGTTCCAGAACTGCAAGAATGCAAAAAAGATTTTGCTTCGATAACCGTATTTCTCTTTATGCTATCGAAATTGCAGGTTCTGGAACATAGAATATGTGCTTGCTACATTTGAGATAACTATGCGTGTTTATGATCTCTCCATAATATTTATGAAGGTATGATACATTTGGTATCCCCCTCTCGCTATCTCTTTTACACTTTTATTCTACTTTAGGTTATGTACAATTATCATAAGTAGTTTTTAAGAAATATGTTTATACCCTCAGCCATATGGCGCTACAGAGGGTATACAGGGTGAGATGAAAAAATTGCAACCAACCTCAGACTGCTGTCATTTCTAAGCCACTCGTCCGACAGCTGTTAAAATTATTCCAGTGATAGCTCTTTACATTGTTTACAAACGTACAAAAACATTTTGGTGAGAATTTTCCAGAAAAGAAGTTCTTCTGAATTCAAGCGTGATAGTGTGATTTCTTTATATTTGGCTGGAAAACGGCAAGTGGCTATCGTTAGGGGACTCCCGCATTTAAATGTGAATAAATCTTTTGTGGCTCGTACCATCGCTCGTTACCGTAATACTGATATTGGTAGCGTAGCCCGACATATGTCAAGGAAGTGGACGGAAGAAAACATCAACATCAGCAGAAATGGTTGGAAAAGTAAAGAAGCGACTTGATCGAAACCCGCGACGCAGTGGTCGAAAAATGGCTGAACATATCGCAATATTCCATTCGGAAAATATTGAAAAAATAAGCTCGGGGTAAAGCCATTAAAATTCCAAAAAGTGCAAGAACTTACACCGCAACAGAAAGAAAATAGACTCAAAAGAGTTAAAGAGCTGCTTCGCTTGGCCGAAAGTGGTGAACTGCCGAATTTGGTTTTCCCGATGAGAAAACATTCGTTGTCCTGCAGTTTGTAAACAAACAAAAATATCGTGTTTACTTGCCAAAGAGGCCAGCTGACAATGTGCACGTTCGGTTGGCCACCAGAACTCAAGCGTCGGCCATGGTGGTGATGTCGGCCGCCATAACAGCCGATGGTCTATCTCCGCCCATATTAATCGACCGTGGCATCAGAATAAATGCCGAATATTTTCGCGAAAATATTCTGGAGGGTGTATTAAAGCCTTGGACATGTTGGCCGCAGACCTTGGACATTCCAACAGGACTCAGCACCATCACACTCAGCACGCGCCACCCAAGAATGTTTACGAAATCAGGTTCCTCGCTTCGTTTCAAAATCTCCGGATACCAATCCGTTGGACTATTTTGCCTGCAGAGTTCTGGAAAGCAAGGTTGGCACTAAAAAATACCAAAGTGTCGATCACCTCAAGCAAGCGCTTCGCCGGAAAGGGGCCGAAAAACCGCAGAGCAACATTTGGACAGCGTATGACGGTTTCATTGGTCGTTTGAAGGCCATCATTCGTACCAAAGGTGACAATTCGAACAAATCTAAATTTATTCTAAAATGGAGTGGAGAAAGATAAGTGCGGTTGTAAGATATAGAAGACTTTCCAAAAGAATTTTAATTTTATTTAATTCTTTGGTTCCTCTTCTATTGAGCTTACGATCTCGTCACTGTGTTTTTTGTCATAGAAGTTATTTTAAAAATAACTTCTGGGAAGAATATCCCAGACAAAAAAAAAAAAAAAAACAAGGGAACTTATGAGGATTGGTGGCTCTTTCCGAAACCTAGGTATTTCCTGCCTTACCCCCTGGTAAACATTACCATCGTTCTCCACTAATAAACAATCATTTTTTTATAAAAACAACAATAAAGGGATAAAGCCTGACTATTTTGCAACAACAAAATACTAAGGTATACCGAACGAACAACCCAACACTGTTCTCTTATTCTAAAATTTGATGCTATTTCCGACATTTTTGCTTTTATTCAATAATTTTTAAAAAAAAAATTGTAAAACTAAAAAAACTATATTTGACTTTGTTGCAGTTTTTTATCTCACCTTATATATATTTTAATCCGATTATTTTTTATCCGATTATTCTATGATTAAAATATCCACTATTTTTTTTAAAAAAGAAATCGAACTTCATTTTCTCTTTAAAAATCTTTCATAACCTTTCGACTGAGTTGTTTTCCACTTACCTGATGATTATGCCATCTCAAACAGAATTGCTGTTGATGATCATTATTTTGTTGTTGTTGTTGCTGTGTTGATAATTGCGATGTGTGTGAATGGTGCTGTTGTGGCTGATGTTGTTGAGAATTATGATATTGTTGCTGTTGTTGTTGTTGTGTGGCGGACTGTTGCTGTGTCTGTTGATTTTGAAATTTCTGCGATAATTGTTCCGAGTCACGTGGTGAACGCAAATTTGTTGTTGCTGTGGCTGCTGGTGTTGTTGTCGCTGCTGTTCCGGCATTATGATGTTCCATAGTTTTTCTTTCCCCCAAATGATGCTTTTACATACGAAATGCCAAGTTGTTAGTTTGTTTCATAAAGTGATCTGTCTGTCTACAAATTGACTACAGAGAAAAAAAAAATAAAGGAAACAAAAAAAAAAACACTTTAATACAATATAATAAATAATGTTTTTATTGGCTTCTGGCTATGACCAAAACTAATGACAATTAATCACCATGCCAGGCAGCATCATCTCTCTTCCTAAATGTTCGTAATAATTATTATTTATGATGTGTTAATGAGAGATTGATGAGATATTATTGCTAATAATATTTAATGTTTCACTCTCTTGATTTTTCTTTCTCTTGTGTTTTTGCTATGGCATCTGATTTTTACACACAACAACGAAAAGTGTCCATGGGAGATATAAACATCATTTATCAGCGAAGAGTATTTAACGGGTTTTGGTATTTGTAAAGAGAAGATGCCTTTTAAAGAGAGAGGTTATCAATTGATTCTGTTTGAGAAAGTTCTTATTGGAAATAAAGTCTCTTTTGTTAAGAGAAGCAAACACAGAGAGGATGGTTTATTCAACATGTAAATTACCAGATAAAATGAAAAATAATTAATAATCATAAATTATTGTTATTAATACAATTATTATTAATTATTATTATTATTAATTTTACTTAATTCTTCTTATTGCTTTAACAATATTTTTTACTCTCAGTAGCTATGAGGGTATATACCATTTAATACGACCAAAACGTGCATGATCGAAATAACGCTTTTAAATATCTTTGTACCAGTATCCGATTTGATCTAAACTTAGTATATAGTAATATTATTGTCAAACTTACATCGAATTCGGAGATGGACAATACCGGTCGTCTCTTATAAAATCTACTTTCCCCAGATTAGTCCTTCGAGTTCCTCCCCCACAACGGATCTAAATTTTGCCAAAAATATAACTCTCATAAAAAGCGAATTATGCATCCGATTCTCCACAAATTTCACACATCCCAACATTTCTATCTGGTATGAATATTTCTATCTGGTACCTCAAAAAAAAAATCCTTAAAAAACTTAGCTGGTCCTTGAAAAAATCCTTTAAAATCCTACTTGAAAAACATAGCTTTTATTTTAACTAAAAATTTCGCCCAAAAAAGATTTCTTGGGCTGTTCTTGAAAAACAATAAAATCCACGATTCTGATTCTTAAAAGTAAATCTTTAAAAAAGCTAAGTTTTTGAGCTTCTGGTCCTTACAAAATTCACCAACAATTCAAGTTTCATGGTCTGGTGGTCCTTGAAAAATTTCCCTAAAAAATGAACGCGGAAGGAAAATCGACCTCGTACTCTTAAAAAATAAATCCCCTTTCTTCAGCTGTCGATCCTTGAAAAAATCCCTAAAATCCTGATATCTTGGGCTTGTGGTCTTTGAAAAAATATTCCTAAAAATCCAAGGTTTTTTTTCTGTTGAACCTTGAAAAAATGTCCCTAAAAAATCCTCGCTTATCTGGTTGTTGGTCCAAAAAATAGAAATTTCTTGGACCGTAGGTCCTTTTGAAAATGAAAAAAAAAACACTAAAAATACTGAATTCTTGAGTTTTAAAATCCTTCACATTTTTTTCCTAAAATCCACGTATCTTGGGTTGAAGAAAATGTCAAAAAAATCCTGGCTTCCCTGGATATTGGTCCTTGAAAAAAATTACTTAAAAGTCAATATTACTTGGGCTGTTGTTGTTGTCGAAAAAATGACCCAATAAATACATGTTTTTTAGGCTGTTAGTCCTTTGAAAAAAAGTGCTCCAAAAATCCAAGTTTCTGTGGATGTTGTTTCTTGATAAATCCTTAGAAAATGTGTTTGTAATCCTTGTGGAAATATTCTCTAAGACATTCACATTTTAAGATCATTTTGTCCTTAAGAAAACATCTGGAAAAATCTACGATAAAGGTGCCTTTGATCCTTAAAAGTTGTCCTTATAAATCCTGATTTAAACTGCAGTTGGTCCTTGATGAAATAATCTTAAAATACACATTTGTTGATCCTTGAAAAATAATCTTTAAAAAATATGTTTGCGGTTTTTGAGAAAATATTCTCATAAAAAACAATTTAAAAACCTTTGGTATTTGAGAAAATATTTGGAAAAAATGGGGAAAATGTACCTTTGAAAAAATGCCTGAAAACCCAACACTTCTTAGGATTTCACAATTAAAGTGCATCTGGTGCTTAAAAAAACTGTCCTAAAAAATCCACGGTTGAAAAGCTGAAGGAATTTCAATAAATAATACATTTATTGATCCTTAAACAAATATTTCAAGTCCCTGAGAAAATATTCTCGAAAATTCACATTTTAAGTACCTACGGTCCTTGAGAAAATATTTGTAAAAATCTGCAACTGCTTCTCAAAGATTGTTCCTTAAAAATTAAGATTTGAAAAAATGTACTTAAGAAACAAATTTGAAAAGCTGTTGGTCATTGGGAAATTTCGTTGCAAATTATGTGGTCCTTGAGAAAATGATTTTAAAAATCTAAAATTTAAAGTGTCTTTAGTCCTTTGAAATTTCTTTTTTTTCGTGGAAAAAATTCCATAAAAATACCGCCTGGTTTTTTCTCAGATAATTCTTTAATAATTTAATAAAAAATTTAAATTTTAATAAAAAATTATACATTTAAAAATTGTAATAGAATTTTACAAAATTTACATTTGTTAAATGATTTTTATCTGTCATTTCGGCTTTTCTCATATTTAAAGTGTCTTTAGTCCTTCGAATTTTTTTTTCGTGGAAAAAATTTCATGAAAATACCGCCTGGTTTTTTCAGATAATTCTTTGATGATTTAATAAAAAAAAATAAATAATTAAAAATTGTAATTAAATTTAGCTAAAATTTACTTTCGTTAAATAATTTTCATTTCTTGATTCGGCTTTTCTCAAATTTCATTGCCTCAGCAATTGGTGCATTTCCATTTCGTTTTTCACAGTTTTCGAATTCTATTCGGTTTTCCTTAAAAACAGATTTTGGCTGTTGGCAATTGTGATCTATTATTGTTGGTGTGAATTTGTCAAACTATTGTCCATCGTCTAAACGTCTGACCCTGCCGGCCTTACACCATCTCTCCCTCGCTGTGCCAATGTTTTCTTGTTGTTGTTGTTGTTTGTCTACTGGCTGCTACTGTGTAAATCAGCCAGCTCTTTGTCCACCAAAAAAATAATGATTATTGTTGTTGTTGTTTGATTTCTTTCTATATATTTGGATTACATGCTTTTGTTGCTGTTGTTGTTGTTAGTGGTGTTGAAATAAATTTTGTAATGCATGAGTGTTTAGATATGCATTTCTTTTTGTTTTTTCTTTTTCATCTCTGATTCTTCGGATTTGTCGCCTGTATTGCTGGTCTTGTAGTTGTTGTTGTTTTATTTTGTCCGAGGGCTGCTATTTTTACCGGTTCATGCAACCAGCAACAACAACAGCAACAACAACTAGAAGACCAGCAGCATCAACAGCAACAAGCGTATATTTCAGCCAAAATTGAATCAAACGTTGCAATTTGTTTTTCCTTCAAATTCTGAAATTTTGTCGTTTTTTTCCTCGCTACAGCCAGCCAATGCTTGATCTTCTTCTTCTTCTTGTTCTTTTTGCACTTTACATTTCAAATGGGTACACAATACGTCGTAAAATACTTGGAGACACCTCAATAATTTCTTTATTTGTTGTTGTTGTTGTTTTTGCTCTCATTGGATTTGTAAATCATTTGTCAGGGACGTGCGATCAAAGAGGGAGAACGGTCGTTTTGGGTGTTTTAATTGAATTTAAGTAAACAAGAGTCCCCATCAAAAAATATTAAAAAAAAAATCACAGTAAAAATGTTTTATGTATTCCACGAATCTTCGAATTCGAATAAAAATCCATGAGCCTTTAAATGAGTGTGCAGGAAATTGAAAAAAAAAAAAATATTTTTTTTTTAAAATCCAGAAGCCCTTTATATCCTTTAAAAAATATTTTTTTTAAAAATCCACAAGCCTTTAAATCCTTTAAAAAATATTTTTTTTAATCTACAAGTCCTTATATCCTTCAAAAAATATTTTTTTTTTAAAATCCACAAGCCCTTATATCCTTCAAAAACTATTTTTTTAAAAATCCACAACCGTTATATCCTTCAAAAAATATTTTTTTAAAATCCACAAGCACTTATATCCTTCAATTTTTTTTTTTAAATCCACAAGTCCTTAGATCCTTAAATTTTTTTTTAAATCCACAAGCTCTTATATCCTTCAAAAAATATTTTTTTAAAAAACCTCAAGACCTAAATCCTTTAAAAAATATTTTTTTAAAAAATCCACAAGCCCTTATCCTTCACAAAATATTTTTTTAAAAATCCACAAGCCCTTATATCCTTCAAAAAAAACGTTTTTTAAAAATCCACAAGCCTTTAAATCCTTTAAAAATACTTTTTAAAAAATCCACAAGCCCTTATACCCTTCAAAAAATATTTTTTTAAATCCTTTAAATCCTTTAAATCCTTTAACAAATAGAAAAATCCACAAGCTCTTAAATCCTTTAACAAATATTTTTTTAAAAATCCACGAATCTGCAGAACTGTTGGAAAATATTTTTAAATAGACCAACGACTCCGAAGGTCCTTGAAAAACATAATTTTTGAAAAAAAAACTCCCGTATCTGTAGGACATTTAACGATACAGATATAAATATTGGAAATTGTGAACCTTTGTTGGGGAAGTACCAGAAGGGGTTCGGTTTGTGTGTATGTGTGAATTTTGAAGAGATTTGAGCGTTTTGTTTTAAAAATGTGAACCCTATATGGGTCCGAAGAAATAGTCCGATATTTATACTAGATCTTGTGTTGATGAAAATATTGCGATGTACCAAGTCTGAATAGAATCGGATGTTAATTTCGGGTTTTATGAGCTTCATGGATATTCAAAATTTTGATCCTTTGTGGGCTGATCTTGTGTTAGTAGAAATAATAGGATGACCCTTCGTGGGGGAGGTACCAGAATGAATGGTTCGATCTCTACCATCTTTATAACAGATCACGTGTTGATGGAAATATTGCGATGTGCGAAGTCTGAATGGGATCGGATTATAATTTCCCATTTTTT